CCGGTCCGGACGATCGTCGGCTGTGTTATTCTCGGAAGAACGCGCGGGAGAGTCGCGCTCTCTCCGTGCCGCGTAAGTCGATTACGAAATTACGAGCGATCGAGCGCGGTCGTTTACGCGATTAACGCTACCAATGATTTCAAGAGCGATACAATCTCTACAATCGATGTTATTCGAGCGTATAAAAATAATAAGGGGTTTATAAAACGTATAATTACAGCGCCACGGATTTTACAGTGTTTACTTATATCTGTTCGGCTAATTTATTCCGAAATCGCGTGCTGGTAGATTCTAGACCTGTCGTAGTTCCCCCTCTCCCCCGAGAAATTGACTTTTCAGACTCGTGCATTTTACTGTTTTTACAACTGGCACGTGTACTCGGCTGTTGCACACGGAAAGAACGAATCAATTTTGCTGGAAGGTCTAAAAATTTCGCTGGATATGAAAACAATTTTGTTGGAAACCGATTGCTAGAATATCAAAACAAGCTTATCATTTTTTAGTTTCCTGCAACAAAATTATTTTACAGCAATGCTTATAATTTTTGAGTTTCCAACAAAATTATTTTCAAATCTGCATTCAGCAAAATTTTTAGAGTTTTTAGAGGTTTCCAGCAAAATCGCTCTTTCCGTGTGCAGGTGAACTTTAATCGCGCGTGTCGAGATCCCGGTAAAGTGCACATCTGCACAGCTGGCGCACGTGAAACATTTCAATTGCCAACTCAGACAAATAGGGATTATCCCGGGAATAGGGTTGAACACGTGGAACACACGAGCGACACATCGCCACCGTGAATAAGGCCGGATTTAATTCTGTAAACATTGAATAGTTCATCCGCGTGGGAAATCGGATTTAGAGCGTAGCGAGAAGTCCACGCCGGTCGCCACTTGTTACTCGCGACGTGCTGCGTGCGATCGAGAAAAATAATCGAGAGAACAGTTAACTTTAAACTGCGTTAGTCGGGGAATGCTCGCACTTTATTCTTCATCGCAAAGAAATTTAACGCAAGAAATTTGTTGCATTTCGCAAATTCTAAAGCAAATTGTTAATAACGTCACGACTCTGTATTTCGTTATATGTCCGCATTTCTTTATTTATTTTTTTCCTGGAAAAATATCTTTAGCTAGTAAAAGTATTTAGCGGTTATTTTTCCTGAAAAGGTATTTTTTTACCTATTTTGTACCTGGAAAAGATTTAATTCGCAGGACTTCAGAGAAAAAAAATTGAATTTGCTCGCGTGGCATTTTCTTTTCATATCGAGGACCCTTTAATTATTTTTTTCCATCTAAATTTGTCACGGAGGAAATAAGAGAAACAGATAACCGTGACATCGGCGTGGATTCACGGAACACGCCATAACGCGGCCGCTCCCATTCTTCACGAAAATAAACTGACGAAATTGGAGCGTATATAGGGAATGTAAAGCTGGCCGATGTTTGGCTCACGCAAAGAGAGACGAGAGACTCCACCCTTGTCGCATGATCTGGATATTAAAAATACCCTGTGGAGACAGGATAATAAAGGGGAAACGCTAATTAATTCAACGACACGACAGTCAGTTAATTGCCACGGGCGGGCATACATGTATACATATATGGAACGTTTTAATTAGAATAGAGCGCGGACTTCTACACAGAGACAACGTATACAAGATATCGTATCACACGAATCAAGATAACGTAACAATCATTCGGCGAAATCAAGATAGAAGATAAAAAGGATGAGACAGATATAATCCAAGATATAATCCAACGTGTGGTATATACGAAGAAAAAATTAATTTTCCGAGTATTTAAGGGGGGGGGGGAGGCGCGAAATAAGGCAGATAAAAGACTGAAAGTTTCTCAAGTTTCTTGCCACTCCAAGAAACGCGACACCGGGCGACTTCTGTAAGCGTTAATTGAGTTTCTAATCTCACGTGACAGCGCGCAGTCCTACAAATAACGGGAAAACAGGGGAGATCTTATGAGCAGATAATAGCGAGAAAGAGAGAGAGAGAGAGAGAGAGAGAGAAAATAGTGGTTACTATCTCTCTGCGTCTCTGAAACGGATATATTGTGCGAATTTACGATATAGGTATTACGAATGAAGCGCTCCACCGTGATTATCTCGAGACACAGAGGATTACCGTCCGATTAATTTTTTGCACGTCGCGCCGCCAGTCGGGGAGGGAGGATTATCTCGGTCCCTAATAAAGAAACACAATCCGCTCGTACCTTTCCGCGGGAATTAATTCCGTACGGCGTACGGAATGAGTTCGCGTTCTGGATTTAACGCGACGGCCGTTATTTTATCGATCAACCGGGGAGCGTAGTTACTGCTGCAAGGCCGCGGCAGTTTCAGGCTTATTTCTGAATGGACGAAGCGATGCCGCGATTCCATCGATACGCGCCGTTTACCTGCTCGCGGGTTCGCTATATATATATATAGGTATCGCGGGAAGATATTCATACGCGCGCGTTGTGAGGGGGAGAAAAAAGGGACTGTTTGCACGAGCGAAGACGCTTGCTTGCTTGCCTTCGTTCAGACAAACATGTATAAAGCCGGTGGCGTAGCCTGCACGGCAAGCGAAGACGTCGCTTGTCTCTCTCTGTCGCCACGAGACCGCGAATTCACGGTGCCCCCTCCCTCCCCGTAATAAAAATAATAACAACTGCGAGATATTTGCGAAAGATACGTGCACCGAGATCGCGGCGCGAAGGCTCGATCCCCCTCGCGCGTCACGCGACACGAATCCGTGTCGGCTTTGGATGCTCGATATTTCGGTGGCGGGCTGCGCGGGATCGATATGCTCGCGGACGAAGTAAATAGCCATCGGTATCGCGGCGAATTCAAGCACGCCCGCGCTGGTGCCCCGCGCGCGCAACCACCGCACGAACCGCGCAAAGACGCCGTTAACGGCGGCCCGCTCGGCCCAGATCAGGAAGATCGATGCATTATGCAACAAGTAGCCAGTTTACCCCGCTGGCTGATTGTCGCGAGTGAAAATTCCACGAATGTTGAAATGCAAAATCTGTCGCCGGCGCGGCATCAGGCCGCGGCGATAGAGTACTTCTGTGACCCTGCGCCTCGGCGCGCCCTTGCCTCAATGCCGAATATCGCGCGCCGCGATAAATTTATCGTTAAATTTATCGCCCGGACCTTCCGCGAGACAATGCAATTGTCATCGTGAAACTGACTGTTAAATGCATGCAGTCACGCGAGAGGAAGCGTGTCGCCTTATAGTCGCGCATAATTTTCAATCGTCGTGTCCACGAGTGATAATCGAGGGAGAATTAGAGCGATCAAGTTCTCCGAGGAACTTCGAGCAAACTCTGGATAATTTCTTGACTAACACCCACAGTATTTTATCGACGGAAGCATTAATTCTTGTTGCTCTTTTAAATAACAGCGTACGAAGTCGGAAATTGTTTTGTCAATTGAATTATAATCGCCGACTAAATTAATCGGAGTGCGATCGATATCGCCCTAATGTCCATTTTCTATCGATGTAGATTAATTTCACTTTCGGTTTAACTTTTACTCTCTTATATCCTTTTTTCCATTTCTTAGAACTAGAGAAAGGTAAAGAGTAAGTTTAAATCAAGAGTATATAAAGTTAAGTTACATCGGTAAAAGTAAACAGAGTATTAAGGACGTTTTCGACGACGAAAAATTACCGAGTATATCTCGTTCAAACTGAACTAAATATTATCCTCCCCCGCTGTTTTCGCCATCGTACGAATTTCCCGATATTAATTGTTAATTGTATCCCTTAATGTTAATTGTAGGTATCGGGAAAATTCTTAGAAGAGTTCACTTTCTTAGAATTCTAGAACGAGCCGATTGAACGAGCCTCTCGCCCAACTTTCACCTGGTAATGACGCGAAGGAGCGCGATGGAGCACCATGCATTATATAAGCGTGCAATCGGTTGACGCGCGTTAAGCGGAGTCTACCATGAGACTTGAGACTTAAGATTTAAGAAAACTGACCAATCACAATCGATTATTCTTCTTATGTGAGATGAATAATCGACTATATGATTGATCAATTTTCTTAAATCTTAAGTCTTAAGTCTTATTGTAGATGCCACTTTAATGTCGCGCGCGTACGGGATTAAAGACGCCGGGGAAAGAAGAAGTTCAGGCGAAGGAACGCGTCTTGTTGCTGTGCGCAGGAGTAGCTCTCTCTCTCCCTCTCTCTCTCTCTCTCCGTATCGCAAGCCAAATGTGCATAACACGAGATAATCTATTCCGACACCTTCTCGACGGCACCTGCCGTCTTAGAGCCGAGAAATGTCAGGGGTAACAAATAAATATTTAGCGGAGCGCGAGTATATTATTTACTGGCGTATGCTGTCGTCCGCGCAAATAAAAAAAAAGCCACACTGACCCTGTAACGGAATGAAAATAAAGTTGTTGCGCAAATATAGACTTGTAAACCTCAGGGCTCGCGAATTAGTTTCAAAAGTTGTGCTTAGGAAACGTACTATACGTCGGCGTGGCCTCGCAAAGGGAAAGGAAATCACCTCAAGGCTCGCGTCAAGGCCACCCAACGGCTTCGGAATCTTCGGACCTGACCGCCGATTTAGGACGACTTCGATCAAAGTCGCGATTAACTTAATCGAGGAATCAATTCGACCGGCCGTCGAGACTGCCTATGAAATTCCCGTGTGTAATTCGTTTTCCCGATTCAATCTGTGTCCTTTCCCACGTGTCAGATGACGAAAATTGATGAATTCCGTTTTTTTTCACGTTGGTGAAATAACACAAACACCGCGCTACTCTTGCCGAGATCTGAGATTTAATCGTCAATCAAGTTAATCGGAGGTCGATCGGAGTCGCCTTTTCGGCTGTCCCCGAGTGGGCCACCCTTCGCCCTGCGCCTGACATCCCCCGCGTTCTAACCTCAAACCCCGGGGTCGTGGGGGTGCTTGGAAAACAACGCGTTACGGGGAAAGCGCAGACAGACACGAGACAAAGAAGGGGAAAAGAAGAGAAAGAGGAAACAAACACTCACCCGTCGCACCTTGTCGCGTATCCGCCGCATTTGACTATGCCGTCGCACGCGTGCCAGCAGCTTGTCGGCATTTCACCGCGTCGGGGAGATAAATCCGTGCGTGGGTTTGTGTGTGTATTATATTATGCACCACCAAGGAAGCGTGGCCGGTCGTCGTCGCCGTCACGCACGCAGGCACGCACGACGCTCGCACGCATGCCGCACGCGAGCGCGGACGCGGGCGCGCGGGCCGCTGCCTCGCGGCCGCATCAGGGGGGGAACGCGCGTATACCGATTGACAGGCGACGGGAATGTCGGGAATGCGGATGACGAGTTACGGAACGAGGAGACGGAACGACTGTACGACACGCGGAGAAAACGTGCTGTTCCTATCTCGATTCCCCTTCGCGCCTCTCGCGTTCGAATTTCGCCGCGGTGGCACGTACGCGCGCGACGCACCGTGCGACCGTCCGCGATTATCCGGTCGCGTTCCGCGGGCGAACTGTCTCTCGCGATCGCGGGGCCTCCGCGGGAGTCGCGCGCGAGTTGCGAGCGAGCGAGCGCCACTCACGAGGCACGGCCGCGCGCCGCTCTGTCGTAGGCGTTGATGATGACCCCCGGCGTGGACTAGATATACCCACCGTCGTGAAGACGCGCTGTAAAGATCGCGGCGGTGCCGCGCGCGAGGGACGCGACCATTTATTATTAACTCCTCGTGGATACCGTACTCCGTAGGCGGGAAATGCATCGCCGCTGACGAGTGACGCCGCTCCCGCTCGCCGACCTTGCCGGGCTGCTCCTCGCGCGCTCCAGGTAGCGACATCTGTCGATCGATCGCGACACCGTCGTATGACTTCTGCAGCTCTGCTCCAGCGATAATTGATGTTCCAGTCTCGGCAAATAAGTTCGATTATCTTCTTTATCGACAGCAAATAAAAGTTTTCTGGCACACGTTGTACTTTATTGGTAATTTAAATTCTATACTTACAGAGAATTTTATATAATTTCAATATAATTTTATTATATATGTTTTATTATGTAATATAATTAAATAATATAAATTTACAATGTAATAAAATTGCATAATTAAATTGCATATAATTCAATATAGTATAATATTATTAGTATATACATATGTATATACTTTATGTAATTCGTTTTAAATTGAAATAAAAATCAGTTATATTGTTCTCATAAATGTAAAGCGACATTTTCGGTATTTTTGACTTACTATTTTTAATCTTTTGCCAGAACATTTTTCTAAACATCTTAAAAACTTCAGAATTTTTTTCAAAATTAGAAGTAACGTGTATACAAAAAATACGCCCGATTATTTCATAGGATTGGGAAAATGCGATTTACATCATACAAAAATTACAATACAATAATTTTTAGATTACAATACAATAATTTCTTTCTTTTTTTATTTCTTATTTTACTATTTATTTTGTAGTAGTAATTGTAATTTATTTTAATAATTTTAATTAGCACATGTAATCTACTTCGCTTCTGTGATAATTTGTCGTTGGATTTTTTTATTTTTTTTTTTCTAAATCCTTTCTTTTAAAATTCGTAACATTCATTCATATATATGTATAATTATATGTATGTACGAATTCTGCAATTAGACACACTAGTGCTCACTCATTGTTCAATATAAAGACACATTAAAATCGTCACACTAATCGATGTAAAGGTGTTCAATATAAATATACGAGTTAAACCACGAAATTCTTAAAATTATTAATTTTATTGTATTTATTAAAATATACCTTATTTATATGTATTGGGCATTTTATTATTCAATTTCACTTATATCGAGTTAGAACAGTGTATGTATACATACATACAATGATACATTTAATGTACATATACACTGAATGCGCATTAGTTCGATTTCGATATTAGATCTATGAATGACTAATATTCGACCAGACGCCGATTAATTTAATCGACGATTAATTCGATTGGCAGAGCTGCAGCCTAAAGGCAAAGATCGAGTTTCTAACGGTATATAATTTGTTGTCCCCGATCCAATCTTTTCATCATACACGTTAACGAAAGATTAATAATTCTGTCCAACGAAGCGCGGTTAACACAGATATTACTTCACGATTAAATTAATCGGAGTTTGATCGAAGTGCCTGCACCCCCTACCCGCAGTCAGTCGAGGGGACATTTAAAAATGGCCGCGGTATCGGTGCGTTAGGGAAACAGTAAACATACCGATCGTCATCGGGAATTGGAGTGCCGGATGCGTCGATATCGCGATCGTCGCCGCCGCGCGAGTCACGTCGATGCACGCGCGTTCTATTTATAGCCTTCCCGATTTTTTTTCAACACCGCCTGCCAAGTATTTTGACGTAAGACCCGCAACCGGACGCGATTTCGCGTCAATGAGATAGCTGGTGGAGGATCCGCGTCGCGAGGAGGGATCGCGTCTTCGCACATTCTGTGCCGCCGCTCCGCTCGGAGGATCTCACGCTCGTCCTCCGCTCGCCGCGAGAGCGTCCGTTCTGTCGCGCGCGGCTTCACCATCCAGATAGTTGGGAGCCGTCGCGTAGCGGGTACGTCGTCAGCTGGCGGTGAGGTTAAGCCGCGTAGTCCAGCAGTCCACGCGCGCTCTCGAGGGGAGCTCCTCGCCGCGAGGGGAAACGGCGATGTCGCCCGGCGTCAACGGCGGCGGCAGCGGCGCGGGCGCGGGCGGGGGCCCCCGTAACACGGGCACCCTGCCGAAGAGCAATCGCAGGAGCGACAGGAACCGGGAGCGGTCCGCCGCTAATCAGCAGCTCACGAACCGCTCGGGTTATCACGGCCACCCGCAGCATTTTAACAACTTGGTAAATCCGCCAGGAATATCCCTTGCTTTCCACTGGAAACTGTGCTGTCCAGCTTTGCCTCCTATCTTGCTTTCCCCTTGTTCTGTTTGGGTAGATTAAGAGATCTATATATAATCCACACTGAGAGAAAACGACATAATATTCTATTATATATGTTTTTTTTTATACTTATTTTCTCTGATTAAAGGAAGGAAATTGTTGTTAAACGCATTGGTAATTTCAGCCATATTTCATGCGATTTACAGTTTTTTATGCTTGCTGAAAATTTAACCGCTGAAAAGTTGTATGTAAATAAGTGGGTGACGATGAGAGAATAGAGTCGTGGTAGAGAATTTGAAAAAGAGGGAATGATTATAAATAAGCTGAATTCCAAGTTGAACGATATTCAGTGGGAGAGGACGACCAAAGCCTACTCCTCTAGATATGCTATAAAGCCGCTCTCGGCAGTGTCGAATTCGGTCTATTAATAGTCGGCGGAGTAGTGGGGCGTTTCTTACTCTAAGAATACATATCCACCGGAGGTGAATCCGCAGTGGAGCCGCGAGCAAGTTCCTCCAACGCACCCGCAATCTTATTTCCGTACTACGTCCGCAATAGCTGGACGCTGTCTGAAAGAGATTTTTATATTACGTTAGTTTCAACTGGACTGGCAAGTAGCAAGTGAGTGCGAACGTGAACCCAGAGTACCGAGAGAAGCAAAGAACAGCAACACGAGATCAGCCTCCTCTCAACTGCCTTCTTCATACTTTACAACGTACCAAGACTTATCTGACTTTGGTGAATATTTATATATATATTTTTTAATTCTACTTTTATTGTACTCTGGATAATTTGTAATTTTACTTTTGCCGTAGCGCACAACTCGGCGAGACAGTGCAATTACAGTACAGAAGACTGCACACCTTGGCTAAAAATGGTACCATTTACTCCTCCTAGAACTCAATCACCGTCACGATTACAGGGAACGAAGCCCTCCAATGTGAATAAGATGGTACTACGCTATATTTTCACTGCATCTGAATATTTCTATTTTAAATTGTGTGGTTTCTATATAATTTTAATTGGATTATAATTATTTTTAATAATTGTAATATTATTTTTTCAAGCCCGATAGAAGTCAAGTAGAAAGTCGGTTAAATCAAATCAGGGATTACATCAAGGTCACTGCAACAATGATAGACTCTCTTGGTCAATCCTCTGATCCTGTGAGTATCATTTATTTAGTATCGCAAATATTTAATATTTTATACCATATATATTTTTTCACAATTCTAAAGAGAGAGAGAGAGAGAGAATTGTGAAAATTTATGAACTATTTTTTTCATATTATAATTATAAATATATCTTGTAGCGCGCACAAGCTCAGAGCGAGAAGTTAAGTAGAATGGTGGACGATCTTCACGACAGCGAGACGAAGCTTTCGAAATTATTGGAACAATATGTAATTTCTGACGAGGTTATTACCTTTTAATTGTTTACAATTAATTCCCAATTAATTTAATAATGTCTTACCGGAACACGGATTGGTCTTGTGAAACTGAACGTCTTATTTTGTGCACAGAATGGCGAGAGAGAAGACATGGACGAGTGCGGCGATGCCAGCCGGGAGATGCAGTTGCGGAGGAACATGGAGGAATATCAGAACAAGCTCGCGCAGCTGCAGGAGCAGCAGGCGAGCTTGGCGGACATGCAGATGTGCGTGAGGGAGAGATTGAACAAGGCGCGTCAGGCGCAGCAGATGCTTCTGCAGCAAGAGAATCAGAATGCGCCCAATTCCGCTACGTGGGAGGACAACCGCGCCGAGAGGCAATCCCTGCCGAGTCCCGCCAATGTCGAGCAACTCGAGTCGGAAACGGCGGCGCTGAGGGGCAAGCTCGTGCAGCTGCAGACGAAGAAGAAGCAGATGGATCACCTTGTGGCGGAGTTACAAGCCATAGAGACGTCCGACAGAGGCAGCTGTGTTAGTTTCAATTTTTATTTCGCACGATATAACAAGGTCACGTCGCAAATACGAAATTTATTCAACAATATTATTGTTTTTGTATACGTATATCCACTCTTGCCCTTCATAATATCGATTACAACTAATTGTGTCCAAACTCTTAAAGAAGGGGATATCGATCTGTCGTTTAAGATTTCCTATTTGGTAACCTATTTGGTTTTGCACGAGTGGATATTTGCAAATACTAGATCTATTGCTGTTTGAGTCTCTTTGATCTTATCGGTCACTGTGATGTTCAGTACTTTTATAAATTTCATATTTGTGAGATTCCTTTTTCCGTTATTATGGTGTTTGTAAGGTGTCGTTCGTTGTTATCGCATTTGTCCAGAGCTCGGAAGGTTCGAGGAACACAATAAAGGATAAAGCCGCGGAGCTGGAGGCGATGAAGGCGCAGCTGGCGCATATAAAGGCTCTGATGGAGGACGGTACGAAGATTCGCGATACCCTCGACTCCTCCTCCGACGCCGAGCCGGATATCGACGCGCATGACGATGGTGCAACGGACGGGATTACCGAGGACATGACGAACATCTCGTTTGAGAGCCGAAGCAACGACGTCAATCATGCAAAACTTCGTTGCTTCGAGTCTAACATTTCGGACATACGGGTAACGTCTCGACGATCTCACAATTATACCTACAATACTTACAATTATAATAGATTTAAATTGAAGGAATAATTATAATACTTCAATATTTATACGATGTACACTACAGGCACATCGCCCGCTTTTCCAGGCGCTAACGTCGGAGCTGAAGGAACAATCGGCCCTGCTGCAGTCGACGCGAGCCGAATTGCAGCGCTTGAAACAACCGTTATTCGCGAATGCCAACCCCGCTCCCTCGAACGGCCCGTTCTCTCGCCCACCGCCGGCGCTCATACCTCTGAGCGCAAACGAAAAGAAGCAGAGTTGCAACGCTAACACGGACACTCAGTCTAAGCAGACGAAAAGATCGCAACTTGAAGATCTGATAAGAAAGGTTCGTAAACTTTATATCGTATACTTTTTAATTCTTCGTCTGAGATCACGCGATTATGTGTCTCCTTCAAATAAATAGGAAACAATGCAGCCTTCCAACATGAATCGGGACGTTCAAGCTTTAGATCAAAACAGTCAAAAGAGCTCTGGTTCGCAAGCTAGTCACAGCAGTACACCTGGAAATATCTGGCCGTCTTCTGTCGCTGCAGGTAAACAAATAAATTGTTATTATTATGACGTATCGTGATGATCAAACGGTGCATTTTTTATGTTTTGGTTAGGCGCAGGAGGCTCTAACGAGCAAAGCGTAGACGGCATATCCACGTCGGAAAATTTATTGGACATCGGCCCACCCGTTGCTATCGAGAACGGTGGAGTCGTCGGAAATTTATGGGCCTATCCTATACCACCTCCGTCAATTAATCAAGGACAAAACGGTAAAGTATCATCCCTAAAAGTGTTTGAAAAAATTGAAAAAAAAAAGGAGAGGACAGAAGTCGACGTGTTTCTTCTTGTTGTGTTGCAGCCACCGTCGAGTATTATCGGCAATTATTATTGGGCTCGCAAGCCCATCAGCTGCAAATGATGGGCACGACGATGCATCAGTGCTGTCAGCTTCTGTGGACGCAGCAGCGCGAATTGCAGTCCATGCGCGCAGCCATCACCGATCTTCAATTGCGCTCGCAAAATCCGGGCCCGCAGCGTGTGAATAATGTCGAAAGTCAGGAGGAGCACTCGAATCTGAGCCGTAGCGTCCACAATCTCGGCGACACGTTGGACGCGACCTTACCTCCCAGTTCGTCCTTACCGAATCTCGTGTCGCTACCTAATTCTTCAGCGGCGTTGTCGCACACTCCGATAGTTAGTAGCTCTAACCCGCAGCAGCAACAGCAACAGCAACAGCAGCAGCAGCAGCAGCAATTGAACAATCAAGTACCTCCTGGTAATAGAGCGAACAACTACTGGGATAATTTTCGAAGGTAAAGAGATTGACTCATAAATTGACGATTACGTGTCTCGTTAGTTTTGATTTATGAATGAATTTATTTCATTATTTGCGTATTGCGTAAAAACACGGTAGACTTGTGAAAAAAGACATATATTTTATTGCGTCTATTTATTCTTTCAGTAATTTTATTTCAGTATTGATTTATGTTTTTTGTCTAAAAATGTATTTTATTATTAAATCCGATTTCCAATGTGATTACCGTTATAGAGGAAGACAGATAAATATGGAATATTTAATGAAATTTTTGTAATAACTATAGCTGATTCTAATAATCGTAATAGTTCAATATTAGAAAATTTTTGATTTCTGTATTCCATATTTTTTCTATACTTCATATTTGTCCATGATGTCTCATAGTTGTTGGTCGTATCCATTTTCCATTTTTTTTTTTCTGTAAATCTAATGTATCGCACTTCATTTAGTAATAAACATCACAATCTACCTTTGCAACATTTTCTGTCTTATACTTCTTACTTATTCATTACCCTTGTTTAAGATTGTATTAAGCACGTGCGTAGCCTATGTTATAAATTTCAATTACATAATCCGGTGGTTATAATACGAAAACGAAAATAAAGTAAGGAAAAACGATTGTTGGTAGGTAATACAAATAGGTATGTAAATGGATTTTTTTAAAGAGAGATTGAACAGGGCACGTGTACCATCAGTGTAAACTTTTTGATGACTAACATTATTGCATGTGATGTAAACAATGATTGTCTTAACACAGAGGTTTTCATGCGATTTAACTTCAGTTTCAACTTCAGTTTTTTCAAGTGAAGTCCGCCATTAAAAAATTTTGTAACAAAACCCTTTTATTTAACGAGATTGACGAGTTGATTTTGATATGATCTATGAATGTTTGCGTAAGCATAAAAATATACATACACATTTGTCTTAATATTACATGTATCTTTTTCAATTTCCAGTTACTCGCGACAAAATCTGCTGTCAGGAAACGTGAAGACAATGACTGATCAGCCAACGGCTATGGCAAATTCGGCGTGTTCCACAAACACGACTAATACGAGTGGAAGCAGCGTTAACAGTTCACTAATGTATGCAATATAAAATTAATTAATCAGAAATGTATTACGAAGTAAAGCCTAATGCGAGTCGACACGGATGGCTGAATTTTGTATATAATAATTTTATTACAATATCCAACTCCACACAAAGGTTTTACTTCGTTATGTATTTCTGCTTCATTCTTGGAGCCTAATTCCTTTCAATTTAAATTTAAAATAAATTTTAAAATTGAAAATTAATGAAATTGATCATTCTCGAGCATTCTTTTAAGACTTAATATTTCTTTATTTGATTCTAGAAAGGACAAGCGGAATCGGGAGCACGGGGCCGACAACTTATCCGTACCCTTGACCGGCGCGGAGGCGCAGTATTCATTGAATCTACAATTACCGTCAAATCTACAGCAACAGGACAGAGAAAACGCTAGTATTCGCAGTAATATCATAGCAAATGAGGTGTCTCAAGTCGATAATTTTTGGGAGGAGGCTCACGGTTCTTACCGATTACCGTCTGCGATAAACGACGATCTTTTTAATAATCTAAGGTTTAAGTCCCTTTCGAAATCTATCAAATGCTACGTTCTGTATTGTCTTTATACACACATTAACTTTTTTTATATAAACGTGTTTTCGATTTTATAAAACAGCTCAGAGATGAAGGAGGCAATCAGTTCGCTCATCGCAGCGAATAAGAGGCGACCCGATTATTTAATAATTATTTTGAGGGAGATCAAGGCCATCAGCGAGGACCATAGATTGCGATCTCATTTGTTAAGATCGTTACGCGCTTTACAGGACAAGCAAACGTTAAATAATCCATTGGTTAGTTACATAGTCTGCAGATATGCAAAATATAGAATATGCATACCTAAATAAATCACTCTCCATTGAATTCTGTGGTTATCGATTGACGCTCTTCGCAGAACGAAGCCCCTGACTTGACGCCGAGCGAGAGTTGCCATTCCAGCGACGAGGACTCGGATGTCGGTGCGACCTTTACCTTGGAAAACCACGCGTCTGTGATGGAATTGGTCACGACGTCACATATAGACGCCACCTCGTCTCCAGCCTCGTCTCAAATACCATTAATGGAACATTTGGAAATTACGGTGAGTAATAGTGTCAAAGAACAGTACTGAGCGCGAGAGAGAAATCGTTGACTTAAAATTTATAATTTCTAACATTTTCAGGGAACATTCTCGCTTGATTGCGCGAGTGCGGCACCATCTACTTCCACCGCTAAACCCGGTTATAACGAGGACTTGGCGGAAGCCGACCAATCGAGGCCTGAATCTTCGGGAAATCAAAAAGTATATCCTGTTCTTTTTTTTTTAAATTATCTCAAAGTTAAGTGAGTGGCGTGCAGATGTCAAACATGTTGAATGTTCCAGATTCCTGTTAGCGATGTAGACAACGAGGAAGGACAGGAAGAAGCGGCGTCTTATCCGATTACCGCGGAGGCGGCTACACCTGACCTCGAAAGTCTGGCTGCCAAGACTGAAGATGAAAGAGCAGAGGACACCGGACTCGACAATTTTTTTAGATTACATTAGTAGATTTGCTATTAGAGTTCGCCCGTTAATCACGTATGTGATAAAACGCTGTTTACAACTATTTTAAGCGCGATATTAAAAAGAAAGTAGAGGTGTTGTAATCTTTGATAAGGTATTGACTAAGGTATTGACTTACTACCGCTTCCGTTTACAAAGGTATTTACTAATAAATAAATAAAGTCTGATATAAATAGCAAAAACTGGTTACGAATTTAGAAAAAAACTCTTGTTACGCCTACAGATTAAAATGGTACGCAGGATATACATCATAAAAATAAGTTTGTATTATATATAAATGTGCAGTATTACATTAATACATGCAATAGATGTAAAATTCTCAAAAAGATATGAAATTGATCGGTCAGATCAATGCAAATAGATATTAATATTAAGAGATGTAGATATTAATACCCGAATGAAAGCTCAAGTTTTTGTCATTTATTTTCTATATTTAATAATATCAAAACAAAATCTTTTTTTTTTTTTCTAAGAATGTATAATATTCATGATTATTTTATTAATATCAAAAAATATGTTTTCCATATAATATCATTTTTTCATAATTATAAGCAATGATTATTATAAGAAAAAACGTCTGTTACAATTGAGCTATTAAATTATATAGTGTTATATGTAAAATGAGCGTTTTGCGTGTGTGAATAAATCGTGCGTGACGGAACGAATATGCAAATGGAACGATACTGATCTACATTATAATTTGCAATGGAAATTCAATGAATCATATTAACGACATGAAACTCTTAGTCTGAATTAAACAGACACCACATTCCGGTGGATTAAACAGGCCCCTTAAAATATTTTAAGATTTTAATATTTTCATTCGGAATTAAACGGTCCCCGTATTCTGAAATCACAAATTAAGTAAGTAAATTTTGAACTGATGAAATAAAACATCCCATATTTTGTTGAATGACGACTGAAACTGTTATCTGAAAACAAAGAGCCCGTAACCTATATAATCTAAATTAATCTATATAGAATCTAAAGTAGAATACGGAGCACAGTACGTGGAGCACTGCTTATTTTCAATTTCAAAATATATGCGGAAAAAAATACAGAAAAAATACGAAGAATACAGGGAGCGAGTCTAATTTAGTCCAATTAGATAATAATTGACCAATCACGATCGAGAACTCCCGAGACGCCGATACTCTTGATTTTTCTAAATGAAAAACTAACACACGTTTGACAGCTGTGAAAAATTAAGTATAAATTAATAAATATAACAATGAAGAATAAACATTACGCAACGTTAAATTAACTAATATAAATGCGGATTTGGCCTGATTTAACTACTCCTAGGACAGGTGTTTCCGTGTAGGGTGTAGACTGGGTGGCCAGAGCGTAATAGAGACGCGGCATTATTGCGCCTCTACGCCGCGGCGCGCGATCCCGACGCACGGGGGACGCCATTTTGAATTTTCTCGTGCAACTTGCAAGTAGGCAAGTATTTTTTTTTTCCTTGGGGGACACAAACTCGCGCTGGAACGTCGACCGTCGAACCCGCGGAAATGCTCGTGCGGCACATTCGGAGGCTGCACCCGCTTAAGGCGGACATCGTCAAGTGCGGTGCGCACAAATGCACGTCAATTTTAGATACTACGTCGAAAGAGGCGATTGGGAAGCCTGCCAAAGTACAGGTTAGACGTGCTCTATTAAACGCGACTTTCGCAACGCGCGGAGGCAACGCGGGGGAGAAACACCCGTCACCGAGGGGCGTCCGCGCCCGACGCGCCCCTCCAGACGGCCGGGGACTCTTGGACGGTCCGCGGGGTCTCTTTCGCGTGTAACTTTGCCGTGCAATCGATATAGAAAGGGAAAGTTCTGCGTAGCTGTCCTATGGCTGTCCCATGCGATGGCCATCCTGTGTTTACAGACCTTGACAGATACCTCGATCGTTAGAGCTTTGGTCGCGTTGAAGTTAACGGTCGTCGGGCTCGGCGACGTCCGATTGTCGCGACACGCGGAAAAATAGAAAGTTCAACCCGACTTTTAATCCTGCGTTTTCACCACTCACAGATATCTGTCTTGATCCTCCTGTTGCCCTTATAGGGATGGGTGCGCGCGCTGCGCAAGATGAAGGATAACGTCTTTGTTGACATTTCCGACGGATCGACGTGCGAGACGTTGCAAGTGGTCGTGCCGAGGGCGATCAAGCCGGACGACCTGCGTTACGGGAGTAGCGTCAGCGTGGAGGGCGAGCTGGTGCCGGCGCCCGACGACGACGGCGGCGGCAGGGCCGAGCTGCGCGCCGCCGTGGTACGCGTGATCGGCACGTGCAACGTCACCGAGGACGGGTATCCATTCGCGCCGAGAAAGCGCTACGATGCGGACTATGTCAGGCAGTACTTGCACCTGCGGCCGAGAACGCGCGGTTTCGCCGGCCTGCTGAGGCTGCGCGATCTCGCCGCCGCGCTGATCGCCGAGCACCTGAGGGACCGGGGCTTCCTGAGCGTGCACACGCCGATGTTGACGTCCAACGACTGCGAGGGCGCGGGCGAGGTGTTCGTCGTCAGGCCGCAGTCCAGAGAGACCCTGGAGAGCATGAGGAGGGAGGGTCGGTCCGAGGACGAGACCTACTTCGACACCACCGCCTACCTCACTGTCTCCGGGCAGTTGCATCTCGAGGCGGTAGCAAGGTGATTAAATTTTACGCGACGCGTCGATGCCGTTTGCGCGTCGATCGTACGTGTGCCCTCTCGCGAGAGCCGTCGAGTCGAAACTACCGGGATGCGATGTACCGTTAGAACTTTTTCAGAGCCCTCACAAAGGTGTACACCTTCGGACCCACGTTCAGGGCAGAGAATTCAAAGTCGAGATTGCATTTATCAGAGTTTTACATGTTAGAGGCGGAGGTGGCGTTTGTCGCGGGCGTCGAGGAACTGCTGGAGGAGGTCGAGCTTCTGGTGAAGCGGGTCACCGAGCGACTGATCGAGAGGGGCGCCTCGGAGCTGCGTGCGATCGACGCCCCGCAAACGCAGTGGCTGAACAGATCGTTCGCGCGTTTGACGTACGAGGATGCGTTCAGCGTGCTGAATGATCACGCGAGTCGATTGCAACGACCCGCCAAGTACGGCGAGGCGTTCTCGAAAGAGCACGAACTGTTCTTGGTACGACACAACGACGGGGTGCCGGTGTTCGTTGTTAACTGGCCGAAGGCCATTAAGCCATTTTACATGAAAGAATGCGCGGACGATGCATCCAAGGTGAGCCAGCGAAGACGAGCGAGTAATGCGCGACTTTTAAAGAAACGTAAAGTAAACGTACCAGTGACAACATGTATCTGGGGTAACTGCCTGTACGTCCCTATTAGTGTGCTTTTATATTTAAATAAGTCGTAAAAATAAACTGGTACAAATAAATAGACAGTGTTTTTTTTATTAAGTTAATACTTTAACTTAATAAAAAAAAAACACTTTGTCTATTTATTTGTACCAGTTAATACTTTAATACTTTTGTTAATACTTTAACTTAATAAAAAAAAACATTATCTATTTATTTATACCAGTTTATTTTTATTTAAATATTTATTTAAATTATTTAAATATAAAAGCACACTAATAGGGACGTACAGGCATACTAATAGGGACAGTTATATCGGAACGTGTACAATCGTGGACAGATCAGTTGCGACACTTTTTTATAGGTTTTCAATATATATTTCAATATATATTTTATAGGTAACTAATATTTTGCAAATGCGAACCACGATGTACTATCCTTAATCTAGAGACAGTATAACACCAATCGTGGTTTGCATTGCAAAATATTTATGCGTTTTGAAATCTATAAAAAAAAGTGTCGCAACCTGATCTGTCCACGACTGTATACAAAAACTAATTTTTAAATCCTTTTTTTATAATTTTATAATTTAATTGTAATCTTTAACTATTTTTACAATTAAATTTTGATATTATAAAAAGCATTTGAGATTAATAAATTTTGTGTACATACGTGTTCCGATACGTGTTCAGTCACTGGTACATTTACCTTGATTCGCTTACCGAATAAATACACATTCCTGTGCGTTTTTCTCTTGAAAGGTAGCGGCACTGGACCTGCTAGTGCCGGATGTGGGTGAATTGGTGGGCGGCAGTATGCGCGAGGATGATTACGGGAAGTTAGAGCTGAAGCTGCCACCCACGGGGAATCTCTCGTGGTATTTAGATTTACGTAAATATGGGAATGTGCCAACAGGTGGCTTCGGAATGGGCTTCGACAGATACTTGCAATGCGTCTTGGGAATCGGCAATATTAAGGACACCGTGCCCTTCCCCAGATGGCCGCACAATTGCAATTTATGAATAAAGTTTTCAGGGCTGCTGTATCATTAATTTATCCCCGACAAAAGAAAAAAAAAAACAAAAAAAAATGACAATGCAACGAATCAGGCAATCTTTCAAATGGAAAAACAATGGCGCATATTTCACACAGAGATCTTTCACACTTCAAGTCATTGAAATAGGTTTGTCAAATGATTAATGGATACGGTGATAGAGGGATAAGATTGGAGATAATTTTTTTTTCAGGAAATTGAAATGAGTTCACACGGTGATTTCCATTTTTGAATGCAGTTTATTGAATATTGAGACATCGTAACAACAAAAAACCATGAACTTTTTATCAATGTCTTTATTGTTTCCAAGCATTTCCTAGTTCATGAATTCAAAGTCCGTACCCTAAGCAGCTTTTCGAAGCTATAATCGTAAAGGATATAGTAAGAAAGGTTAATTAAAAAGAAAGTCAAACCTGTAATAAACAAGTCTTCTTTTTATACAACAAAATAATGCATATCTAACTTGCAGTAGTAATAGTCCTCGTCATTTTTTCTTAATCGTCGTCATTGTTTTTCCGTTGATAGTTTATATTACAAGTAGATAACCCATATATATCACATAATTTGTACACCTTGAAATGACTCGCCCCTTTCCGCACCACTTCCCTCCCTACCCACCCACCCCATAAACTCGTTCATTTCGAAGAGTCTGCCGCATTTTATACAAATAGTATTTCACGTTACAGGTGAGTGCAAATCACCGTCAAACCTACGCACAAGCACGAATGGTACTTGGGAGTTTTTTTTCCTTTTCTTAGCGTAAAATATCATCAAACTTAAATAAGTACCATTTAGCAAATGGTACTTTGCAAGTATTCAGTGTAAATCATCGGTAAATTCGTGTGATGGTACTCTTTCTCTCTATCACAAAACATTGTCGCCAAATTAATACATTCACTCGCGCAGGAATGCTGCTACTACACATCATACCTAAATTACATAAAATATATATACAGCTCTATCTTCCGCGTCACTCTCTCTTCCCGCGTCCGTTAACGAGGAGTCAACGCTTAAGATATATATTCGCACACTTACACTCCATTTCACACACACACAATTTTTTTTTCCTTTAAACTCGTACGACGTGATTCAATCCGATACGAGGCTTAGGGGGCTTTTTTTTTTTTAGTTTCGTGCTTTCGAATTAACCGTGCATATGAAAGATTCAAATAGTAAATTTAAATTAATTTATACTTGAGATAAATTAATCTAAACTCACCACGTAAATATATTTAAATGAGAACAGAGAGATGAGAATATTCTACGGAGACGAGCGGCATCGTTGGATACAACGAAGAAACATTTTCCACGGGGTATTCTTAAAAGAGTCGCATTTATCACGCCGTACAAGTTGTACAAAATGTGAATAAGCTAGATTAATAGATCCGTGTTTCGCGTCTAAACGTTTAAACACGTTTCCGTGTCCGGCACTTTATACACTTCCGAGTCGCGCGGATACGCGACTTAATTTTCAAACTTTGTACACACTCTCTCTCTCTCTCTTACACACACACACTATTTACATAATAGAACAGAGTCCTGACAGTTCCTGTCCCTTCTCCACGGGAGGTAAATTCGACAACTTCCTACCCTGTAAACTCGGCTTAATCGAAGCCGCCACTAACGGCTGCTCCGCGTTCTCCTCCACGGGCGTCTCAACCGGCACTTTGTCCTTCTCTTTACTCTCCTCGGGCTCTTTGTTAATGTTCAGCGGTTTCGTGATATTGATCTTAATTCGCGACGGCGCCGCGGGAATGGCCGCCGGCGTCGAGTCCAACTCCACGTTGCCGTCGATGGAGCTCTTCACCGCGGCGTACGTCGTGTCGACCGTGCCCGACTCGTTCACCATCTGCTCGGGATCTGGGGAGGAGAAAATCACGGGCACGTTACGCGAGAATCGTTCTTGTGCGAAGCAGAAAAAGCGAATCCTTAAAATTAATCTACGAGACGCGCATACCTGGTTCAGGTTCCATGGGCTCCTCTTTGACTTCCACGTTGGAGAAATCGAACATCTCGGTGTCGGGTTGTTCGTCAATGTCATCCAGCGGCTCCTCTTTGATCTTGATATTTTCGAAGGGTAACTGTACATTTAGATTTTCGCCCGGAGATTCCTCTTCTTCCTTATTTATCGTAGGTGCGTCTTTGTCGGCGTCGCCTTCCACAACCTGTTCCGTACTCTCTTCGTCGACACCCTCTACGTTCTCTTTCGTCTCCTCCGTACTGTCCTGCTTCGGGACTTCGGAATTCTCCGCGTCAACAGGCTCTTCCTTTTTGTCCGACGCAACGATAGTGTCTAACAGTTGCTGCACGTTCACCTCTACTTGATTCAAATTTTCCGCAGACTCAGCCTGCTCCTCCTCTTTGTTCACATCGGGCTCTTCCTGCTTACTATTAGTCTCATCTCCGGGCGTTTTTTCCGGACATTCTACCTTATTTTCCTCGATTTCCGAATTTGCGACCTCCTCGAGCGCCAAAGCTGACTTTTCTAACGCTCTCTAAAGTTTCAACAGTATATTAAGATTGATTAAATTAAATTCAATCACACGACAGTAATAAATAATGTGAATATAAATATATGTTATTTGTATCAAATTCAATATAGAGGTGCCAGTGAGAATTACATGATGACACATGTGTAAAAATTAAAAAAATGTTCAACTCTTTTTTGAAATACGTTGTTAAAAAAAAACATAATCTCGTATACATTTTTTAAATAATTCTATATGAACGGAAACATTGCGTGTAAATAGCAGTACTTATCGCTAAGAGCATGTAAAGCTTACAAAGAATGTGCCATGAATATGAATTATTGAGACTCACGTACCGCTAGATTCTTTTCCTATTTTTTTGTAAGAATGCAAGAAACGGTAGTTTTTTGTTAATGGAACATGATATCGGCATATCAATTGGCAAGATTCCAAACGTACGCCATGGATTAGAAGTGGAAAGATACGAACCTTGTAGTCCTCTAGACAGAGCGGATGATAATTCTTGCCCTCGTAATTGACCGCCGGCCTCAAATGCCACTCCTCCTTCTCCTCGTTATAGAACTGCTCGAATGCGTCATGGCATACTTGGCACCGCGAGTCCTCGTCGCTGCCAGTCGGCACGCTCGGCTGCAACGTTTCCTGAGGCGAATCTTCGGTGGCCATCCCTTCCGTTTCCGCCGTCTGTTTCTCGGTCTCGAACCAACTTTGCGCTGAAAGAAAGCGAAACGAGGGATATTAGACAAAGAAGAGGAGAGACCGTGATCGTGATCGAGTAATCGAACACGAGGGGTGGTGTTTCGATTGCTCTTATTGTAAAGTTATCCAAGTCTTACGCTCCGATATCCTGTCGTGTCTTTGCTGAGCTAAATATTGCCGTCCACAACACTAAATTCGGCTAATCTGACATTATCGATCGAATTTTTGACATTTTCTAAACAATGTACATATCGAGAAAAGGGGAGGGGGGCAAATAAATACAAACCTCTGTCCTCCAAATCTTCGATCTCCTCGAACTGTATCCAATCGCTAACGTCATAATACCACGGTCGAGAGTGCGCTTTTCTCGCAGAGTCTCGTTCACGCCTGTTTTGCCTGAAGTGCCAATCCAAATGGTGGCTGTACCGAGTAGCCAACTCGGGCGCGAATCTGGCGCCACAAGAACTGCACTGCATACCACTGTACAACGCCGTTGCAATTGCTGGTTGTTTACTGCAAAGAGAGAGAGAGAAAAAAAAGAATTCGTCATTTGATACTTCGAAATTTGACTTTGTCTCGCTAAATATTGGGACAAACGATAACTTACATCTTAAGCGTTTCCGGTTTGTCGAAGGAGACTGGAGTAATCTCGGGCTCTTTCTTTTCCTCCTCCTCCTGTTTCTTTTGTTCCGTGAGATTGGGAACAATACCAGTCTCGACCAATCTTTGGAATAATTCGCTCATATTCAACGGCAATGTCGGTGCTGGCGCGGGCGAGTTTTCCACGGGTTCGGCTTGATACGACAAGCCGGATGACGGCGCCATCGCTGACGGTAGAACTGACGATAATATATCCAATTGCAGGTCTGAAAAAATTGCATTATATATAATTTTTACAGTTAAAATACGAATCGTAATGTAAAGAGAATACGCGAGGGAGTTGACTTTTCACCTGGCTTTGAAGCGGAGGTAAAATCTAGACCGTCTTGCGACGTGGATTCGTTTTCTGCAGTGGGCAATTGGCTTGGCGCGGGAGCAGCGTCTGCAACCTTTGGTTTCTGAGCTATCAGGGGCGTCGCTGGCGGTGGCGATTCAATGGGGCCTTCGCCCCTCATCCCAGCAATTTTAACATGACCAGCACGCACTCCTCTGGGCAATACTGAAAACCTGATAAAATGCTTTTTGTCTCTGACAATAATAGGCTTAGGTAAGCCCCCGAATTCGACTTTAAACGGTCGTCCGTTTAGAAGAACCGTCTGCAGTGCGTCCGTAAATTCTAACGTATGAGGCTTTCCCTCGATTTCGAATCTGTAAAAGAAGCAAGCGTAATTGCAAGAACGAGCACATTTGCAGTTTGATATTTCTAATAATTCGCCGCATGGCGAAAATGTACTTACATCTGTGGCTTCGCGTCCAAAAACACCGGCACCATATTGCGCGCGTTAATAATGAGATTAATTTTCGCTACCACGAGATCCGTTCGCTTTACTGTGCCGATCTTGACTTGCGGCGGAGGACCCTCCAGTTTTATGCTGACCTTTTTACCGCCGAGTTCAATTGTTATCGGCATACCGCCGAAGTAACACTCGTACCAACGATCGTCAACGTACAATTCTCGAGTAGGCGCGCCCAGTTTGATTCTGAAAAGACATGATTTGTGATATTGTCTCAAAAACTTAAACCTTTCAGGGTTCAATTTAAATATTTGAATACGGTGTACCCACCTATGTACTTCTCCCTCGTACATGAACTCCTTGTACTGATCGTTAAATGCGCAAGTTATAGTATCCTTCTCGTCAATCAATATTCTTCTTATGCCGTCTTGGAAGCCGATCTCCCGTGGATCGTCCCAGTTCATAAACACCACGCCGGTTTGCCCGTAATAACGAATCTCCCGCGGTATATTGTCGATATTGATGGATTTCATAGTGTCCCTCGCGATCTCGGTCAACAGCTTCGAATCCGGCGGCGGCAATTCGCGGCTGTGCGAGCCCGGATTCTTCATCATCGCATTTCCATAACTCTCGTTGTCCTCGAGATCGTATTTAGAGGACGCGTTCGACGATACGTTTCTACCGGACGCCATTGGCGGCATGTTCGACATAAGATTACTCATTGGTCCGTTGTTCATCATCATCGCGGGATGGCATCCCATCGCCATGGGTGAGTTCGCCATGGGTCCCATTGGTCCCATCGGGCCGTTCGGCAAAAGATTCGACATGATCGGCCCGTTCGGGCCCATCGGGCCCATCATACCGGGCCCTAGGCGCGGGTTGGGTCCCATGTGATTGAAACCGCTGTGATACTGATAGTCCGGTCGCATCGGCCCGAAGTGTCGCGGATTCTGCCAAGGACCGACGGGTCTCATGTCCGAGTTGAAGTGTCCCTGCGGTCCGCCGTACGGTGGACCCGGCGGATGCGCCCACGGTTGCTGCCACGGCTGGTTCTGCCATCTCGGACCGTTCGGATTTCGCGGTATCGGATGATCCTTGCCGCGCATCATCTCCTTGTCGTTGGACGGGCTGAACGTCGTGGCGCGATCCCCGGGGCCGGACATGTCCATGTTGATGCCCTTCTCCCAAATCACAGTGCCGGTCTCCTTCTCCTTGCGCTGCGCGGCTCGCAGCTTCCGGTCCTCGCTCATGTGCAACACCTCCTGTATCAAGGTGTTGTACTGCGTCTTCGTGATAGACCCCTGATTCAACTGCTCGGCGGCCTGTTTCATTATTATCTCGATATTTCTATCGTCATTTCTCTCGGGCTTGTCATTCTCCCGGCCTCTGCGTCCCTGCCTGGTGTCCTGTTCCTCATTCGACAACGTTCTCCTTCTCTCCTTAGGATCGTCCGGGAGCTTGTTGTAGAGCCTGAGACGTCCCAGCCTATCTCTATTACGGTCCCTCTCGCGCTTATCGTCGGTGTTGTTAACTTGCTTATCTCTGTCGTTCTTCGTAGGCGTCTTCAATTTCGCCCAGCCGTCTTTTCCATCCTCCCCGGAAATCACGGGTGGCGGAGGCGTTGGAGGTCGACCGGCTTTAGGATGCGTCAGAGTGCGCAAATCCACGTCTTCGTTACCAAATAATCTGTAAAATTGAAAGGAAGTATTGCAATTTATTGCATATATATATATATATATATATATATATATATATATATGTATGAGATTAATGTAATTAACGCAATGATACATACGCGTCAAATTTCTCAGCCTTGGTTTTCTTCGGTGGGGGCGGCTCTACACACTCCTCACTGCGTCTTTTGTTAGTGTTAACAGACGGTAATACTCGTAGATCTAAATCTTCTTCTGGAAAAGAATTCAAGATAGAGTAATTCATGCGGGAGAAACTTATTATTGGATTAACTTAATATTACCGTTTCTCTTTTATTACATGTCCCTAATATGCATATCGAAGAATTAGATTTTCGGGCAATATATATATTTTTTTTTTCCTGAAGAAATGCACGTTAAGAGATTTCACCAAAGTAACTTGGAATTGTAATTACGAGCGCAAGAAAAAAATTAGTCAACGATAAAGTTGAAGAGATACTACTCTTTAAAAGATATCACCTGTTACAGTCTTGCAATTGTTACCAGAGATGAGGCAAATATTGTAGTCACCTTTATGAGAAAATATTCAAGACAGAATTTTTTTTAGCAGTAATTATAGAGAGAAAGCACGCAGGAGAATTGATAAGATGCTCTCACATGCACAATTGTATATATATGAGATGTAAATGACAGAATATTTATGAATAGTGTTACACGTTGTTACGTATAGATATATGTTGTCAAACACTGTCGACTCACTCTTTTCGGGAATGGAAATGGCGGCTCCAGGTAGTGACAGTGGTGCCCTGAGATCTTCGTCTTTGCTAGAAGATTCCAATGTTGGCTCGGCAGCGATTTGAGTATTTCCAGCATTGGCTGGCGAGCGTTCCGGACTAAGACTGCCGTCTTTATTTCGTTTTACATAATTTCTCTGCCTAGCGTTCGGCCTGATCTCTTTGAATGCGGGTGGATGAGGAGGAGATACTATGAGCGAACCAGATTGCTCCTCCTCAGTGACACCGCCGAAATTGTTCAAACTCGTGCTCGATTTCGCATCGTTACGCCTGGGGATTCTATACGGAGGGCTTGGACTACGCTTTCTGGATTTCGTGTTCTTCTTGCGGCTCTTAGAGGCTTGGAAGGATTGTGGAGAGGTACGTGAGGACGGTGAACTGTCTCCGCTGTCTTTCTCACGAGATTTTGACCTAACCGGACTCGAGTCTCTGTCGACTTTCGGAATCTTACTCGGACACAACTGAGGCTGTTTAGATCGCGACTTATTGCCTAATTTCCTATGCGACGACTTGGAGGAAGTGGAAGACTTGTCAGCCAAAGACGAGGAAGAGCCGCGTGAGTTCGAGCTCTTCGAATCTTTCGACTTGTTGACGTCACTGCCTCCACTTCCCCGGTTGCCCGGCGATAATACTGAAGACGAGTTATTACTGCAAACCGATAAATTCTGACTGTTCTTGGAGTTGTTACTGTTTAGGTTACTACTATTACTATTTAATCTAAGGTCTTTTCTTTGACTTGCTCGATGCGAGGTAGCATCTTTATTTAGATTACTATTGAAATTTTTATTATTGCTATTATTATCAGCATTATTGTTATTAATAACGTTTAATAACGTCGTGTTATCAGATCCGGCAGGATTCGCCGGAGGCTTGTTGATAGTTACAGCCGATTTCGAAAGTTGTTTTAATTGGTTTGATGTTACAATTGTATTCGCCACTTGCAACGCTTGACCTTCGCTCCGCGTTTCTTTAGGACTGGCTGTACCCGGTCGTTGTCGTGGATCTACCGCTGGCCCTGCCACATCCTGTACAGCAGGAGTGGGCTTCAAACGTGGATCTCTCGAGACTGGCTTAGCCGACGCTACTGCTATACTACTAGCCGGTGCGATTCGTGGACCGCTGTTTGCTCCTGCGTTCTTTAAAAGCGACGCCGCCGCCGCTGGGAACTGTAAAAGCACATAAAATTGTCATTAGTCATAACAGTCAGTATTCAGCAGTTAAATAATTAAGTATGAACAAACATCAAATATATAGATATAGGAGAGGTGAATTCGTAATTGGCAGATTTCGAATTTAATCCCACATACGGAATTTTAAATTCTGGAAGACCTTTGGCCTTCCAGAATGGAAGTTGGACAATGAGTTAGTAATAGGGCTGGTGATTTGCTTCGAAGGCTTCGACATTCGAACTTCGAAAAATACATTTGTGCAAATGATAAATTTGTTCAGAAAATTTATAAATATTGTAAATAAAAAGAATTAATATATATACGAAATTCCTAAAAAAATTGAAAGTATTATAATCTGAAATATTACAAATTAATAATTAAACTTGATACATGTGTAAATAAGGAAAGATAATAATCAATAAAATAATTAAGAATTAAGCCAATTAAGAAATTTCAAAATTTTTATGTATTTTTTAAAACTTCGAAGGCACCTTAAATTTCGAAAGATCGAAATTAACGTCGAAGCTTCGAATATTTAAAGTGAGTAAAAAGTAACAGTTCTAATTAGTAATCAATTTCCATAAAAAAAAAAATTAAAAACTCAAATTAAAGAAAGTCAAAGCTCGACTTAGGCTATAAAACCACAGGATCTTTAATTATATATGTGACATGTAACTTACTTGTTTCGCTACTTGTTTTGGAGTTTGATTTGGCACTACAGGTGTAACAGGTTTCGCCTGCGTTGTTGTCTCCGTAGTTGGCGCAACATTTGCGGTGGACACAGCCTATCGTAACAAAAAAATATATTATATCGCTATTCATATTTAAAAAAACTCAATGTAACAAAATAAATAAAGTGTTAAGCGAGAAAACCATAAGATTCTCAGCTTGTACCTATTTATACATTGACTAACAATAAGTAGAACTTACCACTTCTGGCTTCAAGCTTCCAGCTTGTTTGTCAAGTTGCCTCTGCTGTTGCTCTAAACTCGCTTTAGCCTGCAACAGCTCTAACTCGATTTTCTTCTTTTGTAATTCTAACAATTCTCGTTGCTTCTTCAGCAGCTGCTCTCTCATGGCTGCTTCTGACGTCGTTATCGGTTCTCCTGGTGGCAATTTAACGGGCGGAACGATTGACGTCGCGGTTTGTTGAGGCTGAAACAGTCAACAAGTATGCAAATCGTATAATATAATACTAATGCATTTTCCTCGCATATAATTATGTATATGCATAAATCGTTACCGCATATAATTATGTATGTGTGTAACACTTACCATTGAAAGAAACCTTGGGTTGACATGTATGGATCCTGAAGGGATGCTAGCGGATGGGGCAGTGACTGGCCATGCAGGATCGATACTATTTACCCGTACATCTAACGAAAACAATTTCTTTGGTGGAAATACATCGTTCCACGTTTGCCGTAGCTTCCACATGCTGGCTCTCGTGTTCTCATCGACCTGTTTGATGAAAATGACATGTTTTTAACAATGCTATTACACAATTTAACAAAAAAAAAAACGCGAAAAACTTTAGCGTGAAAACGATCTCTTTAAATTTCAAAGATACCGTCAACTCTTCGGCATATATATTTGAAAATCTTTTTTGTTTTTATTTATTAAATTTATAAAGATTTATTTTTTCTTAAAGAGATGCGAAAGTATCTTCGTTTTTTCTTTCTGAAAGAAAGAACTTATATACATGAAACTCCGTAGAAACTCCACGAGAAACCTTTCAGAGTTGTGAGGCGAGTGATGTTATATTGATCAAACAATTATCTTATGCCATCGTGAAATATAAAGGGGTGACTCTGCGCACACGTTATGAAATATTCCTTTCAGAAATTCAGGAGTTATAGAGTTTATAGTTTCGCCTCATCGCGTGTGGATAGACGAGCAAAGGTTACTCTCGGTCAGCGGCGGAATCCGTCGATCGCGCGCGCGAAAGAATCGCGTACACCTGCGGCGACCCAATGATATTCTATGTGTATAAACGATCTTGTAAAAACAAATAAGGATATTTACCTTCTCAAACACCCCGCAGAACGTGTTTACTATGTTTTGCGTGAACAGATTCAGATAGTCGCCATTCACATTCTTGACAATCGAGTCGATGAGATAGAGCACCGGTAACTTGATGTCACTTCTCACCTGGTGGAAACACAATAATATGCACAATACGCTACCTATTTAACGAGGCTATTTAACACGGCTACTTAAGCTATCGCGTAAGCGTGCGGTTGAAGAAAAAAAAAATATATATATATATCTCGAGGTACACGTGCACATACCAGAATCATTATATTTCTCGTCAACTACATATTCTTTTAATCTGAAGTCCATTTTTCCTTGGAACAGCTTGATAGGAAGCCTAATTGCAGAAAAACTTAACACAGAAGATCGGTGTAGCTCCGCTATTATTAGATTTCATATTAGTTTACACTTCGTCAAAAGGATAATTTCGCAAGGGTAACACATATAGTAAAATCTTATATTTTTTTCAAGTAATCACAGATATATTTTATTTGTACAGATGTATTCAAACTGCGCGGCTGAATTGCCAGTACATTTAATGCGTAAGTAAAATTAGTGCAATGAGAAGTAGCCACCTATCAAATTTCCATTAGGAAAATGTCCATTAACATAAATTTGTTAAAAAATGTATATAGAATGTATAAGGAAAGATGCAATAATTTCGGAACATTTTGTACGTAAAAATAAAAAATATATATATCACATATATTGACAGTCTATTATTGCATTTCTCGAAAATTGATAAATTCGAATACAAATTATATTACAAATTATACGCAATATTTAAGTGCGCGCGCGCGCGTGTGCGTGTGTATGTGTGTGTGTGTTTTATGTTTTGTGTTTTCTTATGAAATAGACCATTACTTAGGCATTATATAATCCTAAGCATGTAAACAGTATGTACATATAGGAGTGTGTTTTGTCAGTGTATAAAATGTATGAACGAGTTATTGATGAGGTATGAATGTATCAAAATGCGTATCGATTAATAGAATACGTAGTATATTTGGAATTTAACATAAACACAATATCAAAGTCCATAAGTTTTGATAGTATATTTTATTTGTTATTTTAACACATATAATGTAATATAACGACTATAAATCTTGGTATAAAATATTCTTTCTTAAATAACGCAGTCTCGAGTTATTGCAGTTTATACACGCTTTTCGATTTACGAAAAATATTAATTACGTTTAATATACAAAAAGAAAGAGGAGAGCTTATTGCTTCTATTGTATAAAACAGCTATATAGAATAGCCGAACGGTGCTTCAATAGAAAACCTATCAATTATATTCTTTACAAAAATATCACAGATTCTTCAGATAAACATCTTCATCGATAGTTCGCGAAGTTGTGCGAGGAAAAGGAAAACGGTAAAGACAAAATTACAAGATTGTTGTGCATGCTATATGCTATGTGACACAGCAACAGAAATTTTTCCTTGTGTCTACACACGGCAAGGAACTTTGCAACAGTGAGAAAGAAAGAAAAGGTCTTGTCTAGTTTTATGCGAGTTAACATTAACACGAAAATCATTAATCTCGAATAAAACTAATAATAAATGTATTCTGTAAGATTTTAGGTGTATGGCAGATAGGTAACCTTTTGTAGATGAGTCTCGACGGCTTGCACTATCGCTGATGCATGTTCAATGTTATCTTCGGCCAGCATGGTGAGCATGTTGATAAGCGGCTTACTGTTAATCGTAAGATCAGACAGCGATGAGATGTACTCATCCGCGACTTCTTTGGACTTCGTCGACGCGAACATGATGGCCACTAACGAACGAATAAACACGCGACGAACAGATCCCGATCAAATCGAGAGTTTGAACTCGAAACTGTAACATCAAACAAGAACACACATCATGTAGCAAAAAGTTTATACTTTTTTAATTGAAAAAAAAAAATATATATATATATATATACATGTAAAGGTTCATATAAAGAAACCAATTTCTTGTGTAGGCAAACATAAAGGGCGGTCTACAATTGCGTAAGCATAGTTGCAAGTAGTTGCAGGTGTAAGAATTTATCAATCACAATCGAATATAAGAAGGAATATTCGACTGTAATTGGTCAGTTCTTACAACTACAATCACTTACAGCTACGCTTATGTAATTGTAGACCAGGTTTTAGACAAATCTTTTACTACTTTTAACTTATTCTTGGAATAACATTAATTAAAAGATAATTTCCATTGAATGTTAAACAAAAAAATATTGAAATTAGGTTTGATTGGAATAGAAATTGACTTCTTAATTAATGCATATTAAAAAACGCTCAAGGAAACGGATAAATCCTAGCAATCTTGGCACTTGATAATCTTTCATATACGTCAATATTACACGCGCCACAGCAAGTGTTACATCATCTCAATTATTTCGCTCGCGAAAATCTGCGTGTCTTTCCAGGGAACTTGTTGTAAAACACGCACGTCACGAGTGATTCTAATCCGATTCCACGTGCCACGGGATCCAGCAGAATTCAGAAACCGCGTGGCTCGACGTTTACCGTAACCCGAGGGAGCGCGTCCCGCGTCACTCGTGCGCGTGCTTATTCTTGGCAGATCGGTACGCGTTCTAACGTTATCGCAAATTACTGCTAAGAGGCGAAATTCGCGAGGGATGATTCACCGGGAACACACGAGCTCGCTATAGGAGTGATTCACCGGGAGAGTGAGCGGGCAGCGGGACCGTCGGGAGGCGAGAAAACGTGCTGGCGACACGACGTCACGGTCGAGCGACGGCGGAGGGCTTTTTACGTCCGAGAAAAGGAGTGAACGCTTCTTGCGGTCGTACCGAGACGCGAAATCTGGGACGGGAAAGCGGCGGGACGAGGCGAGGCGACCCGCTCCGAGATACACGCTCCGTCCCGTCTTGGGAGGCGAATCCGGTTCGGATTCCGGGAATCCGGGTACTCCGCTCTCGGGAGCCCCCGCGCGGGGGGGATTATTCGGCTCTTCGCGACGCGACGCGTTTACGTAACATCACATCCGCGGCTCTAGACGAAGGTCGACGGCCACGTCTCCGCACGTACGGAGAAACACTTTATCGATTTCACTCTTGCGGTCTCCCTCTCTCGCGCTCGCTCTCACTCGCTCGCGCGATCGAAGGTGGCCCGCTCCGAATCCGGGTGGGCAGAGGCACTTCCAGCGGTCCGGAGATCGCGAACCCGGGCGCGATCCCGTCGCCATCCACCGCGCATCGAGGTCGCGATCGCCGGGGCGACGTCGAGCGCGCATCTGGAGCCGCCGCCGTCGCCTCGCGACCTCGGCCCCGTCGCCCGTTTCGCGCGAGAGACTCGCCCACGGGGCCCACGCTTCCTCTCCGGCCACACCGAATCTTCCGATCGACGAATTTAATTACCTTCCTCAGCGCATCGCGCGACGTAGGCAGGCACAGCCCGTTGCGGTGTAACACGCCCGTACGCCTCGACGTACGGGATCCGCGGAAAAAACCCACGCGCGTCGCACTACACTACTGCTTACGCGAACAGGATCTCTCCACCACAATCTCCACGTAAAATGGCCGTCGCGCATACCTCCGTCCCATCTGCCGACGGGTACGGGCGCCCCGACGTAACGCCGCTCCCTATTGGACGCCGCCGCCGCACGACCGTCGCCCCCCTCCAAATGGCCAATCGCCGGGCGCGTCAGATGGAGCGCGATGTCGCCACGGTCGCACCGTGCGACGAGCACACACTCTCGTCGTATGCCCGATGCCGTGAACTTAGAAGCCGTGAAGCCACGCTGAGGAAACCAAACGGCTTTCCGCCAGGACGTGGCAGCTTGTCGCTATTGTCAGTACAACGGTGGTTGTGTAGCGTCGACGCCGGCGAATCAGCGCCTCGCTTTCCGTTCGAACAACAGGTCTGTTCTTTGTAGCTGAACTGCTGGCACACTCGTCGCACTCTTGAAATGAAATAGATATATTTATTTGCAGTTTGACGACAGAGAGATGAAAAGTTTTTAATTGCGGTCCAGTGTAGCGAAAAGGAATGGACAGCGGATGATTGGCGTTGAGGGGAGGTATTTAAATCTTGAAATTTTACGCGAGAGACGCCTAAGCAAAATTCCTAGACATGCAAATATGCTCCGATCGGACCCGACAGGTACCAGACGCATACCGTGCTTTCGGAATGTGTTGCCAAGTTTTTATTATATATTTGACTTGATTTATTATATATATTTGACGTTTCGAAATTTATTTTTTGAAGATTTTAATATTCAGAGATAGGCCTTGTTCGCGAAAAATTTTGCATACGAAAATTCAAATACTATATAATACACTATAATATATGTTACAAATAATATTATAATTTGTTAGTATTTTCGTATGCGAAATTTTTTAAAAATATAAAAATTTAAAAATATATGGGCTACGTTCCAAATGTACATTGCTTTCGAGGAAAATTTTATTAAAAATCTACAACATACATGTAAATATACTTTTTAGTAAATTTCTTTGAAAGCAAATAAAATTTTGAAAAGTATAATCCTATTATATAATATATATGTATATATGTATAATCCCAGATAATGTTCAAAAAGAATTCAGTTGTGTATGTCATTAATTCTGAGTCAATTTTCAGGTACAAAAAGATTTTTTTTTAAGTTCTAAAAAAGAATTTTTTTTGTCTGAGAATAAACTTAGAATTGATAACATATATATACAATTATAAATTTTTTATGATAAAATTGATGACGACTGAATTCTTTTTGAACTCTCTGTATGTGCTATATAAATATTGAAGCCAGAAAGTCTTAGAAATAATTAATTATTGTATGTTGCATGTGAAATATAAAAGCATGCTATAGATTTTTATGTTCAAAGATATATACATATATATTTAATAATTTCAGTCAATTCTAAAATTTCAAGGAACATCTTTATTATTTTATTCATGCAGCTTAATGGACGTTTTTGTTTAAATGTTAATTCTTTTATCGGTTAAAAGATCCATTAAAATTGGATACATATATATAAGTATATTGTGGTAAGTCTATACCTGTTTCTTTTTTCTTTTGTTACACTTTTTCTTAGAAAAACCTTTTTTATTCTTTAAAAGAATCACAGGAAATTGAGAGAAAGTATTTATTTTTAAATCCTATACACACAGCAGCAATCCTAATAGAGATATGCATGCAGGTATATCTTTTTCTAAAACTTATTGTTAAAAAGCGATATATCATATACCTGAGTCATTTTTCTCCAGTTATTTTTTTCTTTTACATTTTACCTTCATGAATCATTCTTTAGAAATATGAGGAAGTACTAATCAATGAGTGTTTCATTGAGATGAAACATCTGCATGATATGACTAATGTGAGTAAGTTTGTTTGGTTTCTAACATTCGAATCATTAAAGGTTGATAAGAAATCTACCTGAAACATAGACTGACACCTTTACTGCATCTACACATATATATTTTACACAAATTTCATATATTCGATAATTTAAAATACATAAAATTATTATATTATATTAAAAAGTTTTAACTTCAATCTCAAATAAAAAATATATCAATTAATTTATATAATCAGTAAAATACTAATTAGCTGAAATTAAATTTTAGGTATAAAATTTATACATATAATTAATTGTCATGATGTGTAAAAAGTGGAATGGTTTTGGGAAGAAACAGAAGATTGATTATAAATTTGTCCATGTTGTAAAAAGCATGAATTACACCATAAAATAAATAAATAAATTATTAACCAATAATTTTTACACTATGAATTTGTTTATATAGCAATTATCAGATAAAGTTAAATCGTATAAATTAAAGTTCTATTAAATTAAATAAAGAATCAGTTAAGTTTCGAAAGAATTGATTCTCACGAAAAAGGCTATATATAAATATTATAAATGTTCTTATATAATAAGGATGTGTTCCGTTTCATTCATGCATGACGCACATGACGTAACAAATTTAAATAACTGCAGTAGGTAACTGTGGTATTTTTAGGTTATGTCTGATGTCGGTAGATTAGGTCACTGCTTTATAGGCTTCGCGTAAATTTATCGACTATGAAAAACGTCAACGTGACGTGTCCGTTCTCCGTCATACGGAGGTCAGTTTGACAGCTCTCAAAGGGTGCTCTAAGGCCGGACTTAGGTTGACAGATTTCTGAGAATCCGGCCCTATATGCGACACCGGGTGCGCGTCCGACGTCTCCCAGGGATCGCAGCGGCGTACACGAGCCACGTAACTTGACTTGGGGTCTCCGGGCGCCCGGAGAGATCGGAGCACACGAGTGTCGCGCGCGTGCGAGGTTAGGTTCCTCGACAGGCCCGTCACGATGAGCCTGCGCGACCGTCAGATAAACGCCCTGAAGCAGATGCTGAATCTGAATCAGCCCGAGCCGCGGCTCGAGGGCGCGGTGCCGACGTGGAAGATCCTCGTCTACGACCGCCTCGGCCAGGACATCATATCGCCGCTGATCTCGGTCAAGGAGCTTCGCGAGCTCGGCATCACGCTGCACATGCAGCTGCACTCGGACCGCGACTCCATCCCCGAGGTGCCGGCGATCTACTTCTGCGCGCCCACGGACGAGAACCTCGGCAGGATCGGCCAGGATCTGCAGAACGGCCTGTACGACATCTACCACTTGAACTTCATCTCGCCGATCAGCCGGCAGAGGATGGAGGATCTCGCGACCGCGGCGCTGCTCGGCGGCGTCGTCGCCAGTATCCACAAGGTGTTCGACCAGTACCTGAACTTCATCACCCTGGAGGACGATCTGTTCGTCCTGCGGCATCAGAACAGCGACGTGATATCCTACCACGCGATCAATCGCGGCGACGTCAAGGACAGCGAGATGGAGTCGGTGATGGACATCATCGTGGACTGCCTGTTCTCGGTGTTCGTCACCCTCGGCACCGTGCCGATCATAAGGTGTCCCAGGGGCAACGCCGCCGAGATGGTCGCCAAGATGATCGACAAGAAGCTGCGGGAGAACGTGTGGGACACGAGGAACAACCTGTTCGAGGGTGAGGCGTCCGCGACCGGTCACTACAGTTTCCAGAGGCCTCTGCTCATCGTGCTGGACCGCAACGTCGACATGGCCACGCCGCTGCATCACACGTGGACGTACCAGGCGCTGGCGCACGACGTTCTGGAGATGGCGTTGAACAGGCTCGTCGTGGAGGAGAACGTGGGACGATCCCCCGCCGGCGGGACACGCTCCAAGACGCGCGCTTACGAGCTGGACAACCGCGATCGTTTCTGGTGCCAGCACAAGGGCAGCCCGTTCCCCAGGGTGGCGGAGGCGATTCAGGAGGAGCTGGAGCAGTACCGCACGTGCGAGGAGGACGTGAAGAAGTTGAAATCCTCCATGGGCATCGACAACGAGAGCGAGATGGCGTTGTCTATGGTATCCAATAACACGGCGCGCCTGACCAGCGCCGTGAACTCGTTGCCACAACTCCTGGAGATGAAGCGGCTGATCGACATGCACACGTCGGTGGCCACAGGTATCCTGAACGCTATAAAGTCCAGACGACTCGACACGTTCTTCGAGCTGGAGGAGAAGATCATGAGCAAGCAAACGCTCGACCGGAGCGTGTTGGAGACCATCGGCGATCCGGACTGCGGCACCCCCGAGGACAAGCTGCGCCTCGCCATTATTTATTTCATTTGCACGAACATGTCCGACGCGGATTACAATAAACTGGAGGCGGCGCTCACCGCGGCCGGCTGCGATCTGAATCCGCTGATATACGTAAAGCGGTTACGCAACTACACCAGGATAGCCGAGATCCAGAGTAGCTACGAGGGCGGCGGCACCAAGACAGTGAGTATGTTCTCCAAGCTGATGAATCAGGGCTCGTCGTTCGTCATGGAGGGCGTGAAGAATCTGGTGGTGAAGAAGCACAACCTGCCCGTCACCAAGATAGTGGACGAGCTGATGGAGTCGAAGCAGTCCTCGCGCACCGAGGACTACCTCTATCTCGACCCGAAGCAGCTCAAGCACACCGAGCAGATGCCGAAGAATCGGCCGACGTTCCAGGACGTGATCGTCTTCGTCGTCGGCGGCGGCAATTACATAGAGTACCAGAATCTGGTGGACTACGTGAAGCAACGAAGCGGAGCCGGGGTGAATAAACGGGTGATCTACGGCTCCACGACCTTCATCAACGCCAAGCAATTGCTCAAGCAACTTTCTCTGCTCGGCCAGGAAGTCCACTCGTGAACGGACATATGCTTTGATCATCCTCGCCAACCGCACGTTTTCCCCTCCCTCGCGGCCCCCCCCCCCCGTTCATCTCTCTTTCGTCCGCGCGATATCTAATAGCAAACACATTTTTTTTTTTTTAATAAGATTGTTGTTAGCTCTTGTATAAAGTGTACGATATAAATAAAAACCCGGTTCGTTATTTTCAACAATGCTTCTCCTGCCGTCGACTTTCCCTCCCACATACGCGCCCGCCACGTGTTCCTCGTCTCTTTCTTGCGCCCGTGTGTGTGCGTGCGACTGCATTCAATTTGTTTGATCGATCAGTCGTGTACAGCAGATACATGTGCTTCCTTCCGTGACATTTTTTTTATAAAAAGCTTAAATACGCTCTCATATTGACACGTTCGTTGAAAAATTGCGGTTAATAAAACGACATTTTGAAAAGAAAAAGAAATGGCTACGGCGCAGCTTGACGACTCGAAAAATCTCGTGCAAAGGGCCGTTATCCCGCCCAATTCGCAGAAAGCAGTTTCGGAGTACTTTATATCCAAGCAAGAGGAACGTCAGTCTATCAAGTAACGCAATTTTATAAAATACGCTTTTGAATTTTGTAATAAAGTGTCCTTAATTATTCTTCGTACATCTAGGGATTATGCGTTAATAAATAGTTAGAGATATACCTATGTAATGAATAAAAATAGACGATCCATCTGTAACACGCAACAATCGATAAGAATACGAAGCGGACAATACAATAGAATTACGTTTGTTTTATTAATAATAGGGAAATTATATTTTTAATAAACTTTAAAATCAATTTAATTTAACATTTCGTTATTCATTACAATTGCAAATTATATTCTCGTTATTATCTGTAACGACATTAGGAAATATCCAGAATGGGACAAAGCGAGGACTTTAACATATTTCGTTATTCATTATAATTGTAAATTACATTCTCGTTATTATCTGTAACGACATTAGAAAATATCCAGAATGGGACAAAGCGAGAACTTGCCCGGCGACCGAGGTGTTCAGGGCTCATGAGGAATTGGCCGAGGTCGAGGATGTATTAAAGGAGAAACGAGCGGAGCAGAAGATAAGACGGAAATGCATGGACGAGCAGTGGGAGGAGGCGAGAAAGCAGCAATTGCAGTTGCGGCAATCCCTCGTAAAGTTTAATACGCTCGTGAAGGAGAACGTCGAGAAGCGCGAGCGAGCCGAGCAGAAGATCAAGGAGGAGCAGGAACGCCAGGAGAAGTGCAGGCGAGAAGTACGGAGGTCGTGGACGAAGGAAACGAATAGCTAGAAGCTCCGAGAAGCGGACCTCGCGATCTTAATTTTGAATGATTTACAGAGTCGAACGACTACTTAAAATTAAAAAGAAAAAAAAAGGATTTTATATAACGATCGTAACTGTGGTATCTTTTTTTCGTTAGATCGAGGAATTGGAGCAGAAATTACGTTACATGAGAGACGTGCGCGTTAAAATGCAGCATTACGTAGGGGAGTACAGGAAATACCAAAATTACTTGGACAGGGTCGTGAACGAGATGGGCGAGTTTCAGTCGATCAACGAAATTTTTAATCGCTACGAAACTTTAGTCGAGGCCAGGCAAGCGTTGTCCGATCATCAAGACAGGAATCTTCGGATGCTAGAAGAGAAAGGATCAGAAATAGTATTGTTCGAATAATCATTTATCTCACATGTTCGAATAATCATTTATCTCACATGTTATCGCGTCATCATGATTCTACAAAAACGCAGCTGCATCATGCTTTTTAGAATTATTTAATTTAAGAGTCTTACTTTTGCCTTGAATATTGATTACATTTTAACGTAGAAAAAAAAACACGATTTAATCGTAACTACGCTGATTTTCGTTCCGCAAATAGCTTGAAGCACATAAATTTTTTATTGAAGTATTTTTCTTTTTGTTTTTTTTATTTTATCACGCATTCTTATCCACGCTTGGCTGTTTTCCAGTGCGATAATCGAGTTTTTTTTCCGCTATAAATCTCTTATAAATCTCTTTTACGAGTTTAATATCTCTCGGCTTTCAAATATCCGTTTCCAAATAGAGACGTATATTTCCTCTCAATAAAAAAAAAAGACTGAAAAGAGCCGAGAGTTATAGAGGTAATTCTCTTTACGTGCAGCACCATTTGACGGAAGTCAAGACGCAAGAATTGATGGGGCTGAATAATAAGTTAGCGCAATTGCAAGAGAGGTACGATCGGGCGAAAGCGGAGGCATTGAAATGGGAGACGATCGTTTCGAAGATAAAGGAGACCGCCGCGGCGAAGAACCTGGAGCTTACGCAAGTGAAGGCGTGCTGCTGGAACATCTATCAGCAGATATGCAAGAGGAAAGAGATACCCGTCATGGTGAGCAGCGAGGACATCGAGCAGCAGCTGATTCACATCAAGCGCACTATCCTTGAATTGAAGCGGATTATCAAGACCGTCAAGAAGAGGGTGCGGGAAGAGAAAGGTTCGCCGCATCGCGAATAGAGGTATCTATCAGTCCCATTACCGCGACCGATTGCGGGTTTTCTGCGGTGTCGTAAAGCCGCAGGTGACGACAAAGCGAATGAATGAAAGCGACTGGTGACGCTCGCAGGTGACGAAAAATTTCAAGTTGTAGTATTTCTTTTAAAAAAAAACGTGACTAATGTTTTTTTAAATCTACATACACATATATATATATATAAATATAACATCTCAAAGTAGATAAAAGTAAAATAAATCATTACAATTCAAAAAGTCAATTCATAAAACTATTATTTTCTTTGTGTCGCCATTGCGCTTGCGACGATCTGGCGACACCCTCGTGTGTTGAATCCCCGTAAGCTTCACGCGAACGTCGTGACGAAGCTGGCGGAAAGGTCACGTCTCAAGTCCACGAGGAGAAATGTGCGTTAATTCCCTTTATTGATAACGCCTTTGAATAATCTTCCTAGCCGCCGGTAAGTGGCAGGCGGACACGTTGTGAAGCAGCTCCGCGTAATCCTCCAAGAGCCTTTGTCGCAGCTTCTGCACGGCTTCGGCACGTGTCAGCGGCGCCTCCAGGCCCTCCGAGACGAACTGCATGTGCTCTTGCTCCACGCAGCTGTGCATTCGAGGACGTTAAAGTAGTCGGGCGAAATTGACGCGCGGCTCGGATATCCTCGCGATGCGCGTTTGTCCGGTTAATAAAATCTTTCCACTGATTAGGTATCAGTCTCGCTGATTAGATATATCTACTGATTACGTATTGTATCTACTGTAATAAATGTCTGTAATAAATTTCTAATCCCGCGGCACGATAGGAGAAGAGCTAAATTATTTTCAGACGGAAATTAGGCTGTCACGTTCAGGGCTAAATGCCAGAAATGTTAGGGAGAATCTCGAGGATAGACCGTCGATAGACCGGAAACACGCGAGTTCGAGGGTGGATTAAAGGAACGTGAGGGGGAAGGGTAACAAAGCGGGGCTCACAGGACGCATGGTTGGGTGGGTACGATGCGACTGAGAGCGGGCACTTTCAGCTTGGGCTTCCTCTCCTCGTCCAGCCGCATTTGCGGAATTTTACCCTCCTTGTCCACCCAGTAGACCTTGTGGAACATCTCGGTGATCCGTTTCTCGATGATGCCCAGATGGAGCATGACGTTGCTCATAGTGACGTGGGCGTTGTCGCCCAGCAGTTCCAAAATCGGCGAGTTGTCGCAGCGTATCGCCTTGAAGAGGCCGTCGATCCCCCGCAGCAGCTTGTCCATCACGTCGTTGCACTGGAAACACGAAGCCGTGAGTAATCGTTCGTTACACATTCGGGCTGCGATTTGCCGAGTCGCCATGCGGATATCGGAGCCCGTTTTATTAAGATCGAGGACAACACCCGGATATAGCGAGGTAGTCCTTGAAAAGCGCGGCATTAATTTGCTAACTTATAATGATTTTAAGACCGGCATCTCATTATTAATCAATATGATAACATTTTACGTTCCAAAATAGCGAGATAATCCTCGAAAAGCGCGGCGTTAATTTGCTAATGATTTTAAGAATGACATCTTGTTATTAGTTAATATAATAACATTTTACGTTTCAAATAACGTTTTCACGTTTCGAGAAAATAATCTCAGCGCGAAATTATTTCTAGCGTAAAGTTTCCAATGAACGGTTTTCTATCGTTAACCTTGGTAAGATCCTCCTCGGCAGCGTCCGCTAGCGCTGTCTGTCCCTCCAGTTCCTTGGTGATCTTCTCCAAGTTCTCGGCCTGCTGCTGGTCGCGATGCACATTCAGGGCACGCGCCTCGTCGATGGCCACCGTCAGCTGTTCCATCCTCGCCTGAAGACTCTCCAGCTCGTCGTTCAGCTCGTTCACGTAGCTGAAGAGCGCGAAGTTCTCCTCCTCTTGCTTGATGAAGTGCGCGGTAAGTTTGTCGATTTCTTGCTCGCCTGTTTATTATATCGATACGATTAATCGGAATCAATGATACAAGCTCTCAAATGCAAAATTTGGATAAGCGTTAAGATACATCTTCAATTGTACGCTTGAATTAATCAGAGTCAAGATTGAACATCAATAATGTAAGCTCTCAAATGCAAAATTTGAATAACGAATAAGCGTTAAAATACATGATCTACATCTTCAATTGTACGATGTACAAAACTGGAGCAAGCTTGAGAGTTCCGTGAGAAAATCCGAGAATACTTTATAACGGGAGAACGGAAGTTCTTGAAAATCAGATCGCCCACGATTATTCTAAGTAAGAGCCCGTTTTACGGTACCGGTGAATTGCTTGATCGTCTGCAAGATTTGCGTGAAGGCCGCTATCTTGTTCTGCTTCTCCTCCCGTCTAGCTTGCCTCTCGGCCTCCCTCTTCGCGTTCAGATCGACCATCTCGCGGAACTGTCCCTTCACGCCGAGGAACTCCTGCAGCTTCATCTCGTTGTCCAGAGTCCTCTTTAGCTCGCACATCTCCGACGTGTGGTTCTTCAGATCCCTTATCCCCCTGCGAACAGAAACGCCTTCTCGTCAGCGCGTTTTTCACGATCCAGCCGATCGCAATTCGTTCTCTCTGCCGTCCGGCGAAAAATTACGCAAATTCGCAAGTACCGCGACCGAATAAATCAAGCAGCCGTTACGGCATTGCATTCGGACGGAAAGCGCGCGAGCGGCGGAAATTCTATGCGCCACTGGCTCCGGCCGATGTCGTTGCTCTCCGAGTTTCTAATTCAAAGGCAGCGACATTCGGACGTTAATTCCAGGCCGAATGCGAATGGATCTCGAGTTAGTTAGCGGGCAAAGCCATTTGGATTATGGGGACAACGATCTGGCGACGGGGGGTTTCCACTTTCGCGACTCCCCGCGAGCGGTAACGGCGATCGGCGAGCAACGGGAGAGCGATGTCGTGTACAAATGCGGCCGGCATCTCACGCCGCCGCGCGCTTCACGGTGCGGCAATCCGATCAACGACGCGGAAAATCCGCGGTGGCGTCCTATACCTCTCGCGAAGCGCCTGGATCTTGTTGAGCTCCTCGTCCCGCTGATTGAACGTGACCGTCGCCTGCTCGATCAGGTCGTTGATGATCTGCTTGCCCGTGTTCAACTGGCCGATCAGCTTGTTCCACATCTGCATGAACTGCGACCGTTCCTTCAGCAGGGTCTCGATCTCGTCGCGCAGCCGCGCGTTCTCCGCTATCACCAGGTTGAACCGCTTTGTGGCCACCTCCACCCGGTTCTCCAGCATGAGTATCGTCCTCGTGTGCTGCGCCGCTATCTCCCGCGACTGCACGTCCGTGCGCACTTTCATCCTCATGCTCGTGACATCCTTCGAAAGCTGCAACAACATTCTCACATGTCGTAAACGACGAGCGACGTCGCGGCGGGATGAAAGTGATATTTCTCCTCGTCTGTACTGCTTAAAGAGACGTTCCGATCTCTCGTGACAAATCAACGCTTTCATCGGTTATCGATTACCGCGGACACGGGCGATATCGAAAAGCATCGCTTGTAGTCTCGCATCGAAAAACACTTGCGGCCTATTTCTCCTACACTTATTGATGCCTCGCGATCGATTGGCTCGTTAATTTTGAGATCAGATTATTCGCGATTACGCTCGCGGTTGTACAGAAGGATCTACATAGACGCGACATTGGCAATACCAGCAACCTTGCCGATCTGCTCGTCAAGCTCGGCTATCTGACGCTTCTCGTTCTCTATCAGCTCGATATACTTGGCGCGCCTCGTCAGCAGGCACCTCAGCCTCCCGTCCATCTCCGCGTCCCTGCGCGTGAACGCCTTCGAGCGCGCGGTCTTAATCGCCAGCACGAGCTCGGCCTTCTCGTACTCCAGCCGGTCGATCGCATTCTGCTGATTGCGGAGCTGCAGCCTCGCGTCCTCCGCGCACGTCGCCCGGTCGTTCTCCATTATCCTGTACTGCCTCTTCAGCCGCGAGAGCTCGGCCTCCGCCATCGTCTCCAGCTCCAGCTCGTCCTGGGCTGGCTGCTGTTTGTACGCCATCTCGGAGTCTTGGCAATCTTACCCCTTGATGATTCTAAAGTTTATTAACAATCATCGCTGACAATTCGCATCAGGAATCGTTTCTAACCGAAGGTTATTTATTTCGCGTACCTACTTTTTTTTTAACGACAGATTCATATAAGATAGGTAGACGAGAGAAAGCCGTCGGTTTCCCGGAAGACGTCGGCGTCTTCGCGTCGGTCACGAAGATCCATGCAGGGGCGGGTCGCACTCCAGTCGCGATCCCCGATGACATCGGACGCCGACATTTGAGAGAGACATCTGCCACCGTGCACCCCGTGCAGCCGAGGAGAGGCAGCTGTAAAACCGTGTAGGGCGTGCTATAGCCGCTTCTGTTGCTACTTCCGGTTGCTAAGCAATGGGCTCAGCGACGTAACGCTCGTCGAACGTTTCGGGCGGCTGCGGAAATTAATTTTCCAGCCACTCGAGGCCGCGTATATAAGCCGAATATTTTTAACGACATCGATTCGCGTCGCGTCGCGAGACGCCCCGTGACATCGCCGAAGCGTCAGACATTAATTTAACAATAAGTGATAAATTTCTTGATGAATTCGGGACAAGGATAGAATAGTTGTAAATAAATCAAGCCGTCTCCTGCTAAATTACTGCGACGTGTATATTACGGAATTATCGACGTGCTGTTAAATTTTAAGTACAAAAACCCCGAGTTGTTAAACGCGTTACCCGTCCCTCTGTATAATTTACTGCAGCACAATGAATTAATACACAATGAATATAATTTATTACACGGTGAATTAATTAGAAATCTCACGCAACCGAGATTTTAATTATCGAGCTTGACCTCATTTCGCAATGCGAAGATCTATCGCCGTAATCCGAAGCGTATCTACAAATCGCTTCGCTTAATGTGCGTCCATCGATCGCTACGATGACCCACGCGATGCGTTTCCGTTAGTAAATAAGATCGAGGAGCGAGTATACGGCTTCAATGAGCGGGCGTTTCTGCGATGTAGCGTGCGAGACTCGATTTGCCATTCTCATTAGTGTTAATCGCTTCCCACAAGTAGCCGCGCAAAAAAAGAATACAGCAGACAGCGCAGATTTTTGTATTCGCGTAATTAGAAATTGGTATCGTAATTGGTTTTGTTACGTCGACGAAATTCCCCCTCCTCCCAGATATCGAAGGTTTTCCCTCTTAGCGGTTCTTACGTCCTCCAGGAAGTGTAAGTACGTTCTCCATGCGTGGATCGATGAGCGGCGGAAAAAATAATTAACAACACGCAAGATCCGCGCCGGAGATCCGCTCCTCCGGCGTCGTTGAGAACCTCATGGGCGCGCTGGGTGCTACCCAGTGGATATTCGGTGGGACTCAGTCAGGTGGTGGTTCGACCAGGTGGGTCAAGTGGTGGGGGTAACACGCTCGTGGATGCAGCACGGGGGAGAGACGTTAGTTCACCTCCGGAGGGGAAGGTCGCCAGGTCGATCGGTTCTGCCCGCCGCTCGCGCGCGCGGGTAACGAACGCGCGGGATCTCTCTCTCTCTCTCTCTCTCCTCTCTCCATCTCGGGTTACGACCGACCAGTCGCGGTGCAGTGCACCTCTCGTGTGTGCCTCTCCGGTTTTTCCGCGTTCCGAGATCCTGACGCACAAAGGACTCTCTCTCTCTCTCTCTCTGCTCTCGTCGCGATTGCAATTTCGACCGCCCGCCTCGGGCATTCGCCTCGGCCATTTCACGGGCTCGACAGCGTAGCGATTTCGGCGGTCGCTCGGATACGCTTCGATCGATACTTCGAAGTGCATCGCGCTGGAGAGCGCGCGGCCGCGGACGCGCTCCGTGGAAGATACAATTATTAGGAGCCTTCGATAGGACATCGCGGTGACATCGCGGCCTGGTCTGTGTGCCGCAAAACTCTGGTCGAGCTAGGAGTTGTGTTAGGAGGGTGGACCGTTTGGCCTCGCTAGAGAATAGTAATTATTTTATTCAATTTTATTGTATTTAATCTAATAATAATTTTGCTTTATCCATTTATCGGACTTCAATACTATTTACGAAAATATTTGAAACCATACGATCGAGGATTTGTTTAATTCGACGTGACGTTCGTTAAATTGATTCTTATGATTTATTTATTTATTTTTTGCGATTTTGAGTCTTTGATAAATCTCACATTCTTCAGATTTGATTTCATCGGTAATGAAGCGAAATTGCAAAATGCAAATTTAGCGCGAATTCATCCGTGTTTACGCGAAGCCGACACAAAGAGGCGGCCGTGCCGCGCGAGCGGGTGCGTCGAGCCGAACGAATTACTTTCAACCGCGGCGGCAGGCAATATGGTGGGAGAGCCGTGCTGGTCGCTCTCGCGCGGAGCACGCTGCACGATTCCGTAATATTTATTTTCCACTCACGGCTAGTGACTCACTACCTGGCCGACCGCGCCACGGCGAGCAGGTAGACTTGCTCGCGCCGTCCCGTGTTCGTGTGCGAAGATTCGTGACCGCTCTCCCACATCCTCGGCGCGCGTGTTTCGCAGTGTGAGCTCGCGAGAGGTGGTGTATACGTGTGTGTATGTGTACGCGCGTGTGTATATGTATATGTCACGAATAGTGCTCATTTCTTTTTCAATTTTCAAGAAAGGAATCATAAATATTTATCGCGTCATAAATGCATGTTTATCGAGGTCTTTACAGAACGCCGTTGAAATATGCATTTGTATCGAAAACGGGACGCGAAAAAGGACTCGGCGAACGTACATACAGAGAGTGCCCAAAGAAGTTACCCTTTCTCGTTTAGGAAAAATTAAGAGTACTAGGCGGTTTACGTCATTAGAGCAAATTGGCGCAAGGTAAACAGAGACGCGCCCGGTGATCGGTGGAAAATTACCGAGAGTTGAACGTGGTTGCCAGTCCGTCGATCGAATTAATGATCAGCGTCGGGGAGGGGGGCGGAATCTAGATCTACATCCCCTTTATTGGATTTCGTTCGCGAGGGTTGGATGGTGCCCGGCTGAGCCGACTGGCGCGAATCGATAAACGTGAACTGTCGCACGTGCCGTCCGTGACCGTCGTCGGTTCGCCGTCACATTTTTTTATCGCCGCTCAAGGATAATGCGACGCAATTGCGACTCTATCGCCCTATCGCGCGCGCGGATTACATGCTCGTCGTATGTATGTACACGCGTAGAAACGCGAATTGCGCGCGTTCTCCACGCACGCGCTCGCACGAGTCGATTCGCCGCGCGCGGAACCGATTTTCGGTGGGTCCGCGCGCGCCGAACGCGCGCGAAATCAGCGCGATTAAATCGCGCCCACGCGGCCCGATACCGCTTCTTCCTTCGCGAATCGAAGCTCGCGTCGAGTAACTCGATCCAGACCAACACAAGGTCTAAAATCAACGAATAAGACGGTTTTTTATAGTCCTTTCACACAATTTTTAGATACTCTCGCAGAAATGTCTAAAAGACATCTAAAAGACGTCTTAAAGACATCTTAAAAACGTCTTATGCGTCAATTTCAGGTTTAATCCAGATAACGCAAAGTCTTTCTTTAATCCTTTTAGACAACTTTATAGTTATCGTAGAAGTGTCTAAAAGACGTCTTAAGGACGTCTTATGCGTCAATTTTAGACTTAATCCAGACCACGCAAAGTCTAAAATCGCATACGTCTTTTTTAATCCTTTTAGACAATTTTTAGATAGATTTCTCGCAGAAATGTTTAAAAGATGTTTTATGCGTCAATTTTAGACTTTACGTCGTCCAGGGAGTGCCGAGTGGATCTCGCGTATAAGCTCACGCTGTTTGAAAACTTGCAATTATTTCGAATTGCAACAGCTCGAGTGATTAACGTATACGCGATTGCTCGCATCTATGCGAAACGAACGATTCCCGATTGCTTGCAAAACATGACGGGTGCTTCTTGCGCTGGTGACTTATAATCATACGTGCGCGGATATGAAAATAATGCGTTACATCACGTACGTTTAGTCATTCGTAGAAATGTCAGGGGGACCGCTCCTAAAAAAAAACCGCTCCTAACCGCTCGAAAACGTAATGGGCATCTCGATCAGAAATCACTGTATTGTGTGTGTTGTCTACATGAATGCGCGCGAAAAATTATATATAAAGAGCGACGATGACGGGAGAGACTAAAACCGAGTCTTCTTGATTTTTCTTACAGAGGCGGCTGGACGCCCGTCGCGAGATGATGGTCCCGTCGCAAATGAGACGCACGCCGGGAGACCCTCGTAATCCGCGGCCGCGACATAGAGAAGATCACTGTTTCGCTACTCCGGAATAAACGGCGCGGTTGTCCGGAGAAGAGAAGCCCATCGATCTTCCTCCGCGATCCTTCTACGAAGTTAAAAGTGAAAACGTTTATTCATCGCGGATAAATGGAGAGCCGCCGCGGTGTATCGTCGCGCCGTAATTCACGCGGTTCATTCCCGACCTGACGGACCAGGCGCGCGGTGTGCCGACACAACACTCGCTGAGAGTCATCGATCACTCTCGCGATTAAAGAAGTCCGCGCGAGTGAATTCGTAACCGGATGTGCTCGAGCGAGTTGTGAACGAGGTCCGCGGACGGACGGAGGTATTAGTGTCGCAATTCGAGCGGACTTTCCATTCGCGTGGCCTTGCTCCGAACAAGGAAAGATTGAGAGGAGTCGCCGGAGGATTCTCGGATTTCTCAGTGCTCTCGGATATAGACGTCTCCTTCTGGGGGCAGTGTACGACAGTGTGCGAGTGTTGCGGTGCGCAGCGAGAGTCAGCGGGGGGCGGAAGACGGTAAGAAACCGTCCAGGTGATAGCCGCGGTCGATCGATAGCCCGGCGAAACTTCCGCGATCGATATCCCCGGGGAGAGAAGCGCATCGGTGCACGTTGCATTCGCGCAATGAGAACGCCGTCGTCGTCGTCGTCGTCGTCGTCATTGCCATCGTCGATAATAAGGATGCTGTTAATGACAATGGTGAAGCGGTCAGCTGCCCGTCTGCATCTGTGCGATTACGAGTGCATCGAGCGCAATGTCAGGGCGACCGATCGCTTCTTCCGGTAGCCGTGTGCTGACACTGATTTCACCCGAGGAGAGGAGAATCCGACGGGAGCCGATTGCGATTACGTGAATAATCGAGAGGTGAGTGCGCGTCATGCGTCATCCAGGCAATCATTCTCGCGATCGCGTGCTCTTCATCGCCTGCAAAACTTCAAGGCCCGACTGCTTTTGGGTCGCGCTTGGTCCTCGAGCGAAACAGGTTGTAAAGTCTTTCGATACGCCGAGCAGATGCCCCGCAAGGTCTTTTCCTACAACGCAGAATGAATATTAAAAGAAGCAAAAGAAATAATCGTGTCCAATAAATTTATTCTTCGGAAATTATTAATTTTGTGGTAATTAATTAGGAATTAATTATTACTATTGTATTAATAATAATAAGGAATTAATTATTAAACACGCGTGAAACTCATATTCATTGAAGTAACCAAAATACAACATACACCTGTCGGTCAAAAGCTTCTCGACACGTGAATATCCTGACTATAATTATGTCTCAACATCATATGTAACATTATATCGGCAACGCTAAATTTGAGGTTTCTTACATTTTTTAAAATCTTAGCCACTTAAATATTGCTTCATGCGGTAGTTTTGTAAGCGTTACTTCAATTATTGCACCGATATTTAACCGGAGTGCCAACATTAGATTTTCACTCTGCGTTGGTAGACCTGTGTAGACACAATTCAAATGTTTTTCAATTGTACGACGTAAAGTACATGTAAATATTTCCAGAAGTAATAATTTAAATTATTTGCTATCTAAGTATTTTAAAAAATTGCAGAGTATATTTTGCAAGTTTATAGGAATTGGTTTACTCATAATGCCTCTTTCGATTACTTTTCAAGATATGGGAAAGAAACATGACTAAATCGTGAAACGCAGGCTATTGTTAACGCTTTTTATAAAGAAAGGCTGTCCGTTCGTAAAATAACAAAGAAAATGCAGATCTCAAAGTCGACGCGCGGATCAAAGATACCATCAAACTATTTTACTTAAAGCAGATATTGAATTGCTAATGTTGGTGTCCGGAAACTTTTGACCGACAGTGCAATGTATACAGATAAATTCTTTCTTTTTCCTTCTCTTTCGTTGAACGCTCGTAGGCCTTTAATAGAAAAGCCTTGTTAGAAAACAAGAAAAGTATACAAATCACTCATAAATATTTGCTCACCGTATATTTCCTCATGTTACTCAATGATAAAGGCTTGAAAAAAAATTAGATTGTTTTATCTGAAATCAAAAGCCGGTAAATAAATACAGCTGATGACTCACTGTAGAATTCTAGGAAATATATTGTTCGAAATATAATTACATGAAAAAATATAGGAAGTCGAAAATTTTCTGTCGACGAAGAAATATTTATGAGCAATAATGTTTAGATAAGATTCATTTACGGTCGAATAAATAACTATTTATAGATATTTGTATGGACGCAACGAAAAGATATCTTATTGTTTGGAATTGACGGTGGATGTATGTATTTTACTTTCTGTGTTTTCTTATCATTAACGCGCGATAATCTGTCAGTGCTTGCCTGATAGAAACAATTTTCTTCGTACAACCTCAATCAAATCGATATTCCATAAAGAACGAGAAAACGATAATTACATTATTAATACGTTGAAAACAGAAAATTATATATGTGAGTACAAAAAGTATGAGATATTTATCAATGTTAAAAAATGTATATTGCAATTATACATTCGAATACATATTTAATTTCATTAATGGTTCATTTACAATCATTATAATTTTAGCTTGCCGGCTTGAATATCTCTTCTTTCTTTTTTATTCATCCTTTACTTAAATACTATATTGAAGTAAAAACATGTTTTGCAAAGTTAGACTCAACTCGTAAAACGACTGACCAGTTTGGCTCGTTTAATTTATAATACGCCGCGCGCGTGTCCGAGCAGCTCCAATATCGTATCGCCTTTGCTCGGGCGCTTTGTGTGCGTCAGGCGCAATAAGAGTGAAAATCCGGAATTAATTGATTTCAGCTAATCAATGGCGCCCGATAATCTGACGCTGCAGCCCACGCACGACCGCGCGACGTCCGCGAGGGAAAGTCGTTCGTGACCGACGTCACCGTGCATTATCGCACCCTAGTCGTCTCCGTGTCGAATACATCTGACGTGTTTTGTTGCCGAAGTGTTTCACCTGACGCGCGGTTTCCTCCTCCCTCGTCGCCTATTATATCGATCGGAAAGAACCGCGAGCGAGCGACCCGTCCGTTCCCTCCCGCGCGCGCGAATCGGTGCACAAGTGACGTTTCGCCCGTGTGTGCCGTGTGTGCCCGTGGAAGGAACGCCCAATAACTCGCGATGCTGCCGAAGAAAGACAGTCAGACGGAGCCGTACGCTCTCGAGGACATGATATCGGATCTGCAGGCGAGGCGGCACTCGCTGGATCACGACGAGGTCGTGCAGGATCCGGCCGAGTTGCTGAAGCAACGCGAGCGGGACCTCGTCCTGGCGGCCGAGCTCGGCAAGGCCCTGCTCGAGAGGAATCAGGACCTGACGAAGCAGGCCGAGACCTTAGCCGAGGAATACTCCGCGAAATTGGAGGTGAGTACATGTGGTGTTTATAAAACGTTCAGTTCGTCTGGCACGTTCGTCTCGTGATTGATCTGATGAGGAAGAACAGTAATTTACTTTGAAATCTAAAGGAATAGTGCAGAAAAAAATATTATTTCTTCAATTAAATATAATGTAAACGGAAATATTAATAACAACGATGGAAATATTAATAAAGTATTAATAAAAAATGCTAAAGTAAAAGTTGCTCATTTATATGAGACGCGCAAATTGCTAGGCAAAGGAGAGATTTATGAAAATATAATTCGAGCGTTTTCTCCTAAGTGCAAAATATATGGCTATATATATACCGGAGTAATTTATCGTCCGCGCGAGCAGTTAAGAGATAACGCTTATGTAATCTTTTGCTCGGCGTTTATTAGATAAAAATTAATTAAGGAGTGCATTGCGCGGAGTTTCCGATTTTAACGAGGTGAATTTTACTTTCGACACGCCTGCGAGATTACACATTGCCGTAGGCGGTACATACGAGGAGGACGCCACGAGGTGGGGAATAATATTTTTTTAAACTATAATACGCCGAGAGAGCTGTCGGCTCTCTGGTTTCGCATGTACATAATGCAATCCGCACGTTGCACACGTGCGCAACAGCCTAGGCGCGCTGCAGTTAGGCGCGCGCGTTGCAACCTGCAGTGCTCGGCGTGCTCCACTTTCGCGCGAACGTTAATCCTCCTTCCTTCGATTTTATATCTTATTACGTTGCTGCCAGTTTTATGACGAAACGGACGCGAGGAAACCCGAAGTGACTCACTAATTGACCGCGTAAACAGCCTCCTCGGGAGTCTGCCTGCCGCGACGACTATTATAGGGACGCCACGGCGTTGCTTGCATTAGCGACGAGTTTATCGCTACGACGCGTCTTATCTGATCGATAAAACTGTTAATTGTACGAAGATAAGCGACGTCGTTGCGAATAACTTCAAATATTCCTATCTTTATTTAAAGTAGAGATATATCCCGTTGCATCAATACATGTGTCTCTCCTGGAAACCGTTTAACAACTGTCGCACGTGTCGCTCTAACAGAGCTAAATGCATCTCGCTGTCGGTCGATCGCATCAAAGGCACGGACCGTGTCATTTAACGCGTCATTGAACGCGCCGATGGAAATTGCACCGCGACTGCATTATCGCGAATTGCTAGGTAGTCACTCGTGTCGCTGAGGTTAAACGCAGATCCGCAAATAATCAGACGGACGGCGTTTTTCTCGGTGTTTTACCCTCTTAACAATGACACAGCCGAAAGCCCGTGAGAAGCGGACGGCGAGAACAGTATAGCAAAATCAAAGACAAATTTCTAACTGGCTGGAAATTTTCACCTTCGTGTTTAAGCGGGCACGGTCGCTTTCGAACATTACGCCGGCCGGCTGCGGGAAATTTGCTGCCGTGATGTACGCGAGCATGCAGCGCGATTGCGTAAGACAATAAATAACGCGGAACTCCGATGCCGGAAAGATCGAAAATGCAGCATGCTGCGCGCGCCACGTCCTCGTACGTTCGACATAAAATATCGCGACGAAACCGAGCGAATTTCTTAAGCTAACGGATCGCGTATCAATTAATAACAGAAAATTGCGGGAATTATTAATAAATCAATTATTATTAAAATTAATTATTCGATATTAAAACACAGAAATATTTTTTTGTAATATTTTTTTGCGACATGCATCGATGTGAATAATCTGGTCCAAACTCTAAATTAATTAATTAAATTAATTTCCTAGAAAGTCGCTCTGACATTTTCATCGTGTCTTGTATAATAGCACTCTTTCTGCCTCTTTTAATGTGCCACCGCCCGTTACCGGAGAATAAACACAATTTCACTCATTTTATATAATTGCCTTTATTTTACGGCTGTTTGCATATGATTATCTTAAATGTTTCGTTTCCTCTTTCCTTTATGCCTTTCCGAGGGACACGACGGCACTCGTGAGCTGTCGAGACGGCCAAGCGAGACGGTTAGGGTTACTCGCGTCCGCCTCAAACACCAGGTTGTTCATTTATCGTCGAGTATTATTATCGCGTACGTTCTCTCGGGCTGTGCTTTCCTCCGTGAAGAGCAAAGGAAAGAAGAAGAAAAAAAACAGCGGACGAAAGTTATCGATAGAAACGTACGTACGTTTCTTCGCAGTTTTCGTTCGAAATCGAGCCATGAAACGCACACGTTTGAATTTCAAGTGCGCTCCTCTTCCTTCCTCGCGACGACGATTCGCAGGCGCGGTCGAGAACCCGCCCGCCGGACGTTAAACCGGCGATCTCGAACGAGAGCATGCGATGCGTGTCCTCGCTGAAAATTCCCGGGAGTCCGTTCAAACAAACAAACAAACAAAAAAAACGTCGAATTTACGACAATTTATCTTCACCGCTCTTCGAGCGTTTCTATTCTTTCACCATCATCACGCTTCTCTCATAGATTTCGACAGAATTGGCGTGGATTACGGCAACTCGACGTCTCGACAGCTGTGTAATGTTTAGCTAATTGAACTTTCCTCCTTTGTCCCTGCCGTGGATTTCGCGCTCGCTCCACGCCGCCGGTGTTATTTAATTCAGGATTAGTTAACGCAATCGTGTAATAATAATAATAATAATAATAAGCGGTCGGGTCTCGCGACGCGCGGCACCCGTCGCGTTTCGTACGCGGGCAACGCGATTCCTATATACCGACGACGATGTCGCGGGGAGCCACGAAAGCGTGGAAACAAGCCACTTAAGCAACAACCAACGGCCCCGGAGACAATGCCCGGCACTACGCTCTGCCTGCGTCTGCCTACCCACGTTCCCCTATCTTTCCGCGTTCTGCCTGTCGCCTTATTTTTGACCTCCGGGCGCGGAGAGAAGGCCCGCCGCGGCCCACTCCGTGCCCTTTTAAATCGAATCCGAACAATTACGCGTTGCAGAAAGCACAGTCAGCGGTGCATCGAGACGCGATGTCTCGCGCAACGAGCGAAGGCACGAGCTCTGATTCACTCTCTGAGGTTAAACATTGAATATTAAACATTAATAATAGTTAATAATTACTAATTCAATATTGAAAAATATAGGAAAATATAAAATAAAACACATTAGAAATATAAAATACATCGAAAGATAATACGTTAATAAAAGACATAAGAAGCAGTAACAGAGATCATTCATCTTTATATACCGATAATTAAATGTTAAAATATTAAAATAGAACATCAGATAGGTATACATACAATGCGTTAAGAGATAGTGCGATAATAAGACATAAGAAGCAGCAATCAGCGAAGACGTAAATCTTTGATCCATATTTAAAGATTAAATATTAAAAAGTGATTAAATATTAAAGCGGAAAAAAGGAATGTATAAAAAAAGTCGTGATGCTCACAATGGTGTTCTCACGAGAATGTAGTCAAGAAGATAGCTACCTTCTTCAAAATGACAATACGTGTCTCCCTTTTTATTTCCGGATATAATTACTCTCTTTCCGGCGGGGACAGTCTTCTTTCGGACGGACCATTCGCGCAGTTGTACATGAAGCAAAAAAATTTATTAAAAAATTCTCTTATTTCTCGTCACTTGCGTCTCCGATATTTTATATTCAAACATTCCACATTTAATATAAGTTAGACAATTAAAAACCACTTATTTAAAATTGCGAGCGTCGTACGTGCAATTTATCGACGTGCGACGTTATCATTACAATCTCTCGCTTTTCAAGTGGCATTTACATCTTTTTTTTTTCTCTTTCTGTTTGCTCTCCGGCGATGTCTGTGAATATTTAATCGATGAGTAAGACTTATAATTGCGTCACCGCGCGCAAATTTAATGTTCCCGGTGCACCTGCTTGACGTCACGCCGTTATCTATGACGCCTCGTCTATGTACGAGCGTGTTTATTCGCGATCGCACCGTTTGAAACGCACGCTGCGTGCGTAAAATATTTAGCGTGAAGGCGATAGTACGTTCCACCACGACCACGAGCGCCCGTAGGCGGGGACCACCTAATGCTTCCGGTTTCGTCTTTAATTAAGCTCGCCACGCTCGCTATATGGAATAATCGCGGTCCCTTATACAACTCGAGTCGGTTGAAAGCGTCGCGAATCGTCGACGAGACGTACGTATGTATATCGTTTCCTCGACCGATCGGCTCGACTCAGCCATTTCGACTCGCTATCAGTTACGCCGAACGGTAAATTATGAGCGTGCATAATTAATAACTCGCACGCAAAACGTCGATCATGCGCGAATTTTCGCGTAGAATTGCCAGCGGGATGTTCGCATCGCAACTTCGATCGTTTCCTTGCTGATAAAGCGAGGCTGTGTGAGGCTGATTTAATTAGCGACACTCTTTCCTCTAAAAAAAAAATGATATAATAATTATTAACATAAATATAATATATATATAATTAGATTTATTTAATAAGAATCTGCCTTAAGCAAAAATATTTAATAATTCCTCACTAAATGTTTAAAACTGAGGGGAAAAATCAATTCGTTTTGTTAAATTTGCTTGAAATCGCACTTATTCGGAGGGAAACTTAGAGAGCAGCGCGCGCGTACCGCACGCCGCTTTCCTACCACCTGATTTACGATCGCGTTAATTAACGCGCGGACGGACCGTAGATTGTGCGCGGGCGTCATCCATCACCGAGAAAAACCTCCGAGAGTCCCGCTCTCGGAGTCCGGCGACCCGTCGGCCGAAATGGCCGCGGACAAAAATTGCTTTCGTCCAAAGTTAACACTTTCATCTCTACGCGCGGCGTGCATCGCGCAGCTTTTGCGAGGCGAGGAGAGAAATGGGTCGCGAAGTCGTAATGAGAGCCGCGCCACGCGTGAGCTGGCGAGTCGGCACGTTGATGCGCGCGCGGTTGTATAATTGGTCGTCCGAAAGCGGACTGCTCGCGGCTCAGCTGATTCGCGCTGGCGATAAAAAAGCGGGTCTCTCGCATATGCAACGCGTGCACTCGCGCGGCGGAGAAGAGGCTTCTTCGCGCTTTGAGAAAGCCGCC